ACCTCCTATTTCCTCCTTTCACCTCCTATCTCCTCCTTTGACCTCCTATCTCCTCCTTTGACCTCCTATCTCCTCCTTTCACCTCCTATCTCCTCCTTTCACCTCCTATCTCCTCCTTTCACCTCTTTTCTCCTCCTTTCACCTCCTTTCTCCTCCTTTCATCTCCTATCTCTTCCTTTCACCTCATATCTCCTCCTTTCACCCTCTACCTCCTCCTTTCATCTCCTATCTCTTCCTTTCACCTCCTATTTCCTCCTTTCGCCTCCTATCTCCTCCTTTCACCTCCTATCTCCTCCTTTCACCTCCTTTCTCCTCCTTTCACCTCCTATCTTCTCCTTACACTCTGCCCCGAGATCCCTCTCTTAAAATTAGCATTTTTTTAAATTTTATAATATATTTCAGAAGCGATTCTTCAACGAACGAACCTAGGAAAGGACAAATTTTGTCTAATTACGCCTTCGTCTGAGCAATATTAAAAAAGATATCTTGTTCTAAATTAAAAATTAGATACATTTTAATAATTTTCCTTCCTCTTAAGATAATATCTGCAATGAGAACCAAATAGATTCTAGAACAATAGATGGCAAAGTAGAATTTGTACACTCAAAGTCCAGCTGTATTCTTTCGTCACAAGTGTCATCTTAGTTTATGTGTCCGACAAAATTATTAATAATAGTGATAATTTTAGAACAATGTGCTTATCTTATAGTAAAATATATGTAATTTTTTGTGTTCTTCATTTTCTGTTTTTATACTTTTTTATTTAATCTTAAAAATCATGTCAACTAATGTGAGAAAATTTCGTTTTTTTTGATATATTTGACGCTTGTGACGTCGTGCATAATTGGTCTGTTGCCACCTATTGTAATGATAATCTATTTGATGAAAACTATCATTTTCAGATAACAAATCAAAAACAAGTTAAGTACCAACTACCACTTCGAATCAGTGAATTATGTTAAAAGTTTCTTTCATTATTTTTATTAAAAAAAGTTTTCCTTGTAGAAGTGAGGGTATTGAGGTGCCTAAAGTTACATCTCCTTCAAGGTAATTATTTATATTTATTGATAAAAGACTAAATTTTTAAAATTTGACAAAACATTTCTTAAGTATCCAGAAACAAGCCTTTCGTTTTGTCAGCCATGACACTTAAAACTTTGTCAACTAGACAGAATTTTATTTGAATTACCGGTTCGACTTTGTGTACTTGTAGCTCCCCCTTGTGTTGATTTTTTGCACGAAAATAAACAAAAATATAAATATTAAAAATCAAAACATTTTCTTTTTTCTCTAGGTCTTCAAAAATAGGAGTTATGATTGATAACCTGTCAAATTTGACTCAAAGAAGTTCGTAGTAAGACTTCGATTCTACTGGAGGGATTTTATTTTCACTGGAGGGGTTTGAAAAAATAAAACTTTACGCAGGGTGATTTACATTCCACTGGAGGGATTCAGATATCTTTCCAGGGGGTTTATAAACCCCTCCAGTGAAAATGAATTCCCTCCGGTGGTCTCCAGTGGAAACAAAATCTTACTACGAACTTCCGTGACTCGTAAAATTTAAATCTACGTGCAGTTTACTTTAGGTTGACATGAAAATGTTGTTTAAGTGTGATTTTTTTCCATCGTAAACAGCTGTCTACATTTACTACTTAAGGCCTGAGTTTAATATTAAAAGTGGAAACTTTTGATTTGAAGCGATTAAGTGCTTAATCCGTGAAAAACAGCTGACTTGTATTTTCGCCATCTTTCATTCATTGAAAGTAGATTTTGCGTGGCGTCTGAGTGTTCCAAAAAGAATTACTTGAGATCTACATATATACGGATTAGTGGTATTTAAAGGGATTTACTATACAAAAGTTACTTTCTCTTTTAAATTTTACTTATTCATTGCCGAAATTAGTTTTCTTTGATACTTATCGATTATACAGTGATAACCAGAAATCTATAGATTAAGAAGAAGACATTAAAGCATTTGTTACAAATTAAAATGGGTCTGTTGTCATTGCACATTACTCTGCCTCATATTCCTTGAACTTTTTAACGTCAAAACTTTAGTCTAAAAGTCGACTTCCTATTCCAGAATTTTCCTTTCATCACTGTATACGACAGTAGTCATCGGACTGGGATGAGAATAATATTGATCAATTTATATTAATTATATTAATGATGGGACATATTTCAGTATGAAAATTATTATTTCCATCCTGAGCTGAAAACTTTAGAATGGGTGATATCCAGATTAATGCTTGATCCTCTCTTTATCTTAATATCGAGACTATCCTAATCTTGCACTTGTATCCTAAAAAGAGTATAAAATTCAACCAATCAAAATCGCGTATATGAAGCCGATAAATTTGAAATTTGGCGCGTCATTTAAGATTATATACAGAAACGGGAGGAACTCTCTAAATTAAAAAAAAAACGGTTTTTGATTTATCTCCACTATATCCAAGAAAGAATAGTTTAAGAAGAAAATCAAAAGCGTGTCCATTGGATACTCAGATTAAGTAATCGGGATTAAGGATATCTCATTCTGAAGTTTTCAGCTCTGGGATCTTTTGATTCTAGTCGAATATTTGTCCTGCAAGAACTTGAAACTATGTTTATTTGTTTAATAGTCAAGTTGAAAGGTTTGACTGTGGTCATGTTTATATGTTTTAAAATCTTGTTATTCTAAATTACAGAAAAACCTTGGTTTTTCGGACGCCTATAAAGCGTTATACAGCATTTTGGACTAAAATAAGCTTCTTTTTATTTTCATGATGTTTTAAGCTTCTTCAACTTTTGATACTTTTTGCTGACCTGTCGAGTTAATAATATTCATGGTGGTAGTGTCAAACATCAAGAAAAATGGTCCCTTGATATAAATATTTGTACTGAGAACATGGCATTTAAGAAAGTTGAGACTTAAAGTGATGAGTATACAAAATATGCATTGTTTTATTCTCAATATCATTCTGCAACAGTTTTTTGTTAATTTCCTAGAGAACGATTTTTGGACCCCCCCCCCTTCCTATCAATTTTCATGGATCTTACAGAAAGTGCCTGAACTTAACCTAACCCGTGGTCGCAGCGCTCGGCCCAGAAAGTGGCTTAACCTAACCAAATCCTAAATAAATACTAAAGTGGTCATGTACAAAATTTATCATTATCTATTTTATCAAGGCAGCATGCCTTTCTACTTCATGGTGAAAAAATGTTGGTGATTTTTTAACATTCTTTTTTTTCATGGTTACGTTGTGATACTTGCCAATCTTTAAATCAAGGATCATTTGAAAAACGTCTTCAGTATCTTAAGAAGTAATTTCAGAAACATTGTCTTTGAATGATAAAATGTTTCTGTGCAGGTCTCCTAACAGAAAACTTAAAGAAGCAACAGATAGAGTTGGCGATAGATTGAGAGCTTATGCTCAAAAGTTTAAGGTATAAATTCTTCTTCTTCTTCTTCTTCTTCTTCTTATTCTTATTCTTATTCTTAATCTTATTCTTATCCTTACTCTTACTCTTACTCTTACTCTTAATATTATAAGTGTTATTTGTATTATTATTTTCGTTTGTGTGGTGTAGTTGATAAAATATTTACACATATTCATTTATCCAAATCTTCTTATAAAAGCGTTCTGTACTCAGCTACATTTAATATATATTGTCATAAATCATTGTTCAGAGAGAACCAGAAAACCTAAGAATTATCGTCCTGCATTTATTTCTTTTGATTATAAAATGGCATTAAGATCTACCACGGGCAGCCGTTATAGTACATTTGAATTTCCGAGCCGGGTCAGCCTTTCCGGTCCCAGTTTGTAGTGTATCGCCTGGACGTTGGGTAAATAAAGCAGACACTCAATAGGACTAGCTGGTGCAACAGGTTGACGCGGTCAGACTTTAGGTTGAATTTACTTTTACTAAGGGTCAGAGGTGCGTGCTACGCATTCTAGTCTCTTGGAGAGAAGGAAAAAATGCATTTTGACTCATATTTCTGTTTCATACTATAATTCCTCAATTTGATATTTTAGCGCCAGAAATATCAAATTAAATAAATAGACAACTACAATGTCTAGCAAGTCATTCCATTTAAGAAATTCTTGACAATCTGATTTCTGCATATAGATTTATAGAACAGTTTAGTTTACGAACAAAATGCAATATTTCCCTATTTTCCCTGAAAATTCACATTTAGCTTTCATGAAAATAAAGGATTATTTTCCAACAAATATTTAGACTCGTTATTTATTAGTTTCTCTCTCAGTAATTCCTTTAAATCTTCACGTGAAATACTAGACTTTGCTTGCCTAAAGATCATATCAACCTGTCAACAAGGAATTTATTTCAAAACCTAGCTCAAATTCATTAAATTCGAACTCTTGATTGGAAAACTTAAAAAAAATATTTTTAATAAACCACAGAATTTTTAAAAGATTTAAATCCGTTCAAAAATATGAAGATAATGTGAGTCCAGAGTGAGGACAGACCGACAATGTAAGGTAGATGAAAAATTCTTTTGGATTCATTTGAGACATATAAAATTTTTTAAAGATCTGTAAATCCTGAGTTTGAGCGCCAAGTGGACGTTCAAAATCGTATTTCTGGGTGGATACGTTTTTAGTATTGATTTTTTTATTATTATATAACGACGACAAAAAATGGAAACAAAATTCTACAGTAAACTAATTATTTGTTTACGAAATAGAAATTGACTCTTATCATCGAAAATAAGTAATCTCATTCAATTATTTCTATAATCTCTCTTAATCACAAAGATTTTCTGCAGATTTCCTGGAATTTTTATTAAAGAGACGACATTTAAAGAAAATGAAGAAATCTGCGAACAAATTCATCGAAAATAAGAAATTCAATATGATGATGAAAAAGGAAATATTTATTTCTAACTCAGATTTATTGACAAATTTAATTTGAAAAATATGTTCCTTAACATCTAACTAGTTAAATATAGAATTTTTACTATATTTTCCGTCGTCGTTACTTAATAATTTTAAAAAAACAGATTCTGAGAACGTACTCACCCAAATTCATGATATTGAACGTGGACTTTGCGCTCAAACATAGTAATTATACATCATGAAAACGTTCTATTAACACTGCATACTCAGTTTAACTACCTTACATATGCCGGTCTCTCCCTTTAAAAAATAATTGAGTGTTTTTGAATTTTATAATCCCTATATCTCTCCAACGCAATGTTTAGACCTTTGATATGTTAAACTATGAATTCTGTTGATTCAAAGTTTCAAAGGAAATCAGGAGTTTGTGGCTAAAGCTAAATTCCTTTGAGGGATATGGAATCATGTGTACTTTGTAACGTCCCCCTTTTTAAGGATATATAATTAATATAAATAATACTTTCCCCAACCTATTGGACGAAACACTTCCAATTTTATCATACAATAACATCCGGGTTTGCCAATGTTGACTTGGCAAATCCCGTCATTAAAGTGTTGGTTTAAAGAATATATCTATGTAAAATTATGTACATTAATCTAAAAATGTAGATATCTAAAAGGAATTAGTGATTAAAACCATGTTTATTAACTGAAGAGTGTAAATCCGAAACAATTTGTATTAATGAGAAGTTGCTCTGATTATTGCTTTACAGTTAAATATATATATATATATATATATATTTATATATTCAAGGAGAGTAAAGAGAAGGATAGAGGGAAGCAGGATGTAAAAAGATCAGCTAGTGCTGGTAGATCTGACACAATAGAGGAAGAATCCACCGAAGATATAGAAGCTGAAAGGTAAAAATATAGAAAATGAATTAGAAAAATTACCAGAGCTGAAAACTTTTGAATGGGATATTCTTAATCCTGATCGGATAATTAATCTGGAGATTAAAAATGAGAGGAGAACAAGCAATATTTTAATCTCGAGATTAAGAAAAAGAGTGGATTAAGCATTAATCCCGATATCCACCATTCTAAAGTTTTCAGCTCTGGGATCTTTTGATTCTAGTCGAATATTTGTCCTGAAAGAACATGAAAATATGTTTATTTGTTTAATAGTCAAGTTGAAAGGTTTGACTGTGGTCATGTTTATATGTTTTAAAATCTTGTTATTCTAAATTACAGAAAAACCTTAGAGCTAAGAGTCTATATGATAGATCTTCCAGAAACCATGATTTAATGAGTGTCTCATCAACAGACAGTGCAGATCTAGAAATATCAGCAATAAAACCTCTCAGGGTAGGTTTATTACTAGCTCAGGGTAGGTTTATTACTAGGTTAGGATAGGTTTAATACTAGCTCAGGGTAGGTTTAATACTAGCTCAGGGTAGGTTTAATACTAGCTCAGGGTAGGTTTAATACTAGCTCAAGGTAGGTTTAATACTAGCTCAGGGTAGGTTTATTATTAGGTCAGGGTAGGTTTAATACTAGCTCAGGGTAGGTTTAATACTAGCTCAGGGTAGGTTTATTATTAGGTCAGGGTAGGTTTAATACTAGCTCAGGGTAGGTTTAATACTAGCCAAGGGTAGGTTTAATACTAGCCCAGGGTAGGTTTAATACTAGCTCAGGGTAGGTTTAATAATAGCCCAGGGTAGGTTTAATATACTAGCTCAGTGTAGGTTTAATACTAGGTCAGGGTATGTTTAATACTATCTCAGGGTAGGTTTAATACTAGATCGGTGTAGGTTTAATACTAGCTCAGGGTACATTTAATACTAAATCAGGGTAGGTATAATACTAGCTCAGGGTAGATTTAACACTAGCTTAGGGTAGGTTTAATACTAGCTCAAGGTAGATTTAATACTAGCTCATATTGTCATGTTTCGTGGGACACCCTGTATGTCTGAAGAAATGTAGACCTTATTTGAAAATTTTGGATTTAAAAATTATTTTATTTTATTTTTTCTTATGTTTTAGAAAACTTCTAATCGGAAGGGCAGATCAGGGATGGAAGAAAGCAAAGGGAAAGGATTTTCTTTAAGCGTGGAAAACGAAACCTTCGATACAGAGCAAATCAATGAGAAACTCTCAAAAAACGATCCAGAAAATGAACCTTTTTGGTCGGAATTATTTCAGAAAGATAGTTTCCCTACAGAGAATAAAGAAAAAAAAGAAATAAGAAAAGAAAAACTATCCGATGAAACTATAAATCAGAAAAATAAGGAGAAAGAAAACGAACGAAGTATTCCAATAGAAAAAGAAAAGAATGAAAAGGATAAAAAGGATGAAAAGGATGAAAAGGATGAAAAGAATGAAAAGGATGGCAAGGATGGCAAGGATGAAAAGGATGAAAAGGATGAAAAGGATGACATGGATGACAAGGAAGAAGTATGTGTGGAAGGGATTAGGGATCTTCCACAATCACTTCCTGAAGCTTTACAGCGTAAGTTCTAAAATATAGTTTAACCCAGAATTTTGGAGAAATTGAACGATATTATAAAATGTCGTCTTCTTAACCTACTGAAAATGGAATGCGACAAATATCAAGATTTTTAATTAAATAATTATGAGAAGCTTGTTATAATGGTGTGTGCATATTTTATGGCTATTTATTTATTTTTACAATTACTGAAAAAAAAATTATTGAAAAATTGTCAAGACGACATTTTATAAGTTCTTTCGATGACTCTGAAACTCTGGGTTAATTTGTAGTAATTTTTTCTAGATTAAGGAGCTGAATACTAACCACACACTCTCATTTTTGTATTTATTAGTACAATCAAGACGATTTTCGATTTTAATTTTTATTTCTATCAAGCTTCAAAATCACACGTAAATGAAAATTAAGAGAAACTATTAATTTACAGACTTTCTTTGTTTACTTGTAAACTTGCTTATTAGAAATCAAAACTTAATTACTAAAGTCGTCTTTATCTGTCTTTAATGTTATTTTGTAAGAATGATTTTATTGCAAAAACACCTTTCTGCAATTCCTGATATCTTCCAAACATTTTTGGATAAACACATTTGCACAATTTTCTCGAAGTTGAAATCTGCAAAATAATGTAAATATATGTTTGATTGTTGAATAGAATTAAACTTAAAACGTTTATTTGACATTTTCAAGTTTAAAGATTATTTTATATGTTTTAATATCACTTGTTTCTTGAGTCTACATTTAAGATTATTTTTCAAGAATAAGCCCTAAATTTATTCTTTCGTGGAAAATCTTTGAAATTGTAAAATTTTTAACTAATGGTTATATAATCCTTCAAGGAACTGTAAACGTAATTTCAAGTGCCTTTCCTTTTTAGACTTCCATGTCCGATTCACAATGGTAAATATTAAGATGTTAAGTGTTAATTTCTGATAAAGTAATTAAGAGTCTTTCTCACAAAATCTGATTTTCTTATCCCTTTATCTTTGCAACCCAAAGTCATAAATCTTAGATATTTCAAACTATGAATTCTGTTAGGTAAAATAATCTAAGTTTAAAATATCAAAGGTCTACACTATCAGGTAGCAAAGATATAAGAATTTAAAAAATTTAATTTGTTGCAAAGACTCAATTCCTTTCTTATATTTATGTGTTGCTGCATAATTTCAAAAGTATCTTTTATAGATACGTCACTATGAATAAATATAATAATTACCGTTGTGAATTATACATTCCACTTTATAAATGGAGGATTACATGAAATTACGTTTCTTTAATCTCTGTTATAGTTGCGAGCCAGCAAATGGAGTATTTAACCCGGCAATGGGACACTATTAGCGACGAGGATATTAGTGAAGAGATTAGAAAACGATTAAGGAAAACCTGTCAACTACTTACTGTACAAATAGTATTTAGAGGATTTTATAAACTTTATGCATTTAAGCCCCCCCCCCCCAAAAAAAAGAAATAAATAAAGAAGATAAAGATAATCAACCCACGCACCTCTGACCCTTAGTTAAAGTAAATTCAACCTAAAGTCTGACCGCGTCAACCTTGTTGCACCGGCTATTCCTATTATGTGTCTGCTATATATACCCAATGTATACAGTACGATACAGTACAAACTGGGACCCATCTCGGAAATTCAAATGTACTACGGCTGCCCGTGAACCATTATGGGTTTGGTTGGTTTACACAACTGTTTTGGCTGAGCGCCGCAGCTTTTGCAGAGGAGTTTAGTCTTTGGTATATACGCAAATTTTCTAATCCCTATATATCTTTACAAGCTGTTGATGTAAACATTCGGTTTCAATGATTATAGGAATGAGAAAATAAGAGTTTGTGGCAAATACTCAATTCCGTGATCCTGTATTTGGAGATTATCTTTCGATTTATAGAAATAAAAATGCAGTTTTGAAAACCAACTGTACCCAGTCTTCTCCGTAGTATTGCGTATTCATTTATGTGCTTTTATTATCATTAAACCCTTTAAAGGTAGTTGAAATAAGATTTTCTATCATTGAGAAATTTTTTAGGATTCATTTTAGGAGTATCAGACATTTTGAGACATTACGGAAACCAATACTTGAATAAGATTACCTATTTTCGATGATAAGAGTCAATTTTTATTTTCTCAACTTGTTCCAAACAACTGATTAGTTTACTGTACAATTTTGTTCCTAAACAACTAATTAGTTTACTTATAGAATTTTTGTAACATTTTTCACAGTCGTCATTAAATACTTTAAGTAATACCGTTTCTCAAAATCAACTCTTCAAAATGGACAATCTATGAGGATTAATTTTGAAGACTGCATTTGCGTTTTTGCTTAACAAACATACAAGGTAAAAACATCTGATTGGTCTCAAATGAGTCCTAAAAAAGTCTCAATAATACTGTAATCTTTGTTCAACTACCATACATTGCCTGTCACTCCCTTTACAACTATACATATATTCCTCTGTTGGAAGAGGGTTTTGACTGCTTCGAAAAAAAAATAAAATATGTGTTCTCCGATAATGGCTTTATAGATGTATATGACAGTTGTTTGTCCAGTGGACAGATGGAGAAGGATTCAAGTTCACGCCCTCGTCGGCCATCTTGTGATGTAAAGCCTGGGGTATGTATTTTATACAATACTGGCTGCAGTGCCCGGTGTTTCCCGTGATATTTTCGAAACACTTGAAAAAAATTAGGAATTTTAAAACAAATTTGAATTTTTTAAAGAATTAGAATTTTGAAAAAAAAATGTATTTTATGTTACTTCCAGAGTACTGAATGGTTTCCTTAAACAAATTCAGCTAATTTGGTTCAGCCGTTTGTCCAGCAGTAGATACCATATATATAAATATATATATGAGCGAAGAGCTTTATTATATAGATCAACCCCCCCCCCCCTACCCTTTCAACCCACGCTCAAAATATAATGTAATTAAGAATCGTTTTTTCCTTTTAAAAGGGAATTCAGTATTTGCTACAAACTCAAACTTTCTACTCCTGATATCTTTGCAGCCTGATGGTGTAAACCTGTGATATTTCAAACTTAGATTATTTGATATAACAGAATTCATAGCTTGAAATATCTCAGTTCCACGAAATTGTGTTGCAAAGTAGAAATATGGATTAGAAAATCTGAGTTTGTCAAAACATTTTAAGCATTTTAAGAAAGCAAAAGTTTAAATAAAGGTTTTTAAACAAAAACTATAAGGGCTTTGCACTTTGGTCATATTTTCAATCTGTGCGTTAACAGATATTAAACTTAACCATTTTTTTTAAATAGGGAATTTATCGTTATTTTAATGTACATCTATTTCTTATTCTTTCCGTTCGTTCGTAACTAAAAAATTAATGATTCTCTCCATTTGTTATTTTTTTTCATTAATTATCTTAAACTCTTGTTTATTTCAAATTTTGTCTCTGTGGTATTTTAGTAATTTTATTCAAAAAAAAGTATGATTTTTTTTGGTAATTCCAATCAGGAATTAAATAATTCACTGGAACATTATGATTTATTTAATGCACTATCCCTAATTGACCCTAATCATAGTCTGTGTCATATTGTTCAACTTGCTCTGCCTCTAGCGCTTACTTGGAAACCAATTCTTCTATTACTTTTCATTATTTGAGTGTGATTATTTGCATTAAATAATATTTATCCAATGTCCATGCTTGCAGGATCATCTTGAGTCTCCGACAGCGGAGGTGTGTTCGGAGAAGATGATGCGGAGCATTTCGGATTCCTCTAGCGGAAGATCTAGTAAACATTCTTCACCAGGGAAACAGAAACAACGGCGGTCTGGGTAATCTTGTTTTACTAAGTACAACCATATGCAGTCAAAATATAAACAAACAAAATGTGAACATAGTAGACGAAACTCTTACAGATTACAGCTTTCTCAGTAGGTATCACTATACTAAATCAAAGAATTATTTGAAAAGACGATATCGAATTCGTCACTGAATTCTCATGTTTATTGGGACACCCTGTGTATGTATATCCTTAAGCAACGTCTAAACAGCTGAACCGGCAGGCCCACATATTTTTTGGAACATCACACTTCACATAACCAAAGAAAATCCACCAAAAAATCTAAAAAATCTGTGATTTTTTCTCTTAGATTATTCTATTTGTTCCAATCCCAATACTTTAGGCCTGGAAGTAAAAAGAAGAGAAAAAAAGATGTTCATCACAGTCAACAGGAGTCACGTGTTCAGCAAGATGCACGTGTTCAGCAGGAGACACGTGTTCAGAATGTCCATCTAGAGAAACGTGTTCATAAATCGGATTTGTCATATTCAAGAAGGAAAGCTAAAGAACCGGTTCCTTGTAGGTAAACAGACTTTTTAAATGTTAAGTGACCCTCTATACAGATGGTAATGCTTGATTTACAACAGAACCCTTGAAACCTTAATCTGATAAAATGTGGGAGATAACGTCGGTTCCCTGACTCGAAGAATGATTTTTCTAGTCTGGTTTATCAGCATGAATGCGTAGGTCACTTGTGTGCACTGAACCCGCAAATGAATTTATAAACATCTTAACGAAACACAATTTTTGAGTCTAAATTCAAACTTGATCAGACGAAGCGTGTAAGGTACCACTGCCATCTTTGCAAATAGAAATATTGTTTAAACTGTATTGATATACCACCGACCACCATAACAAATCTTTTTAGATTTTCAACTTATTTTAAAGCACTTTAATTAAAAATTCCTTGTTTTAACTAGAACATTGTTTTCCTAATCGCTAATTAAAAACTGTTAAAAACGAACAAGAGAGGTTCAAAGTAAAACTTGAAACAATAAAATTACTTTTATGTTTTTAATTAAATAAATACAAATCTAGTTTTCCTCAAATCTTTACCATTCTTCACCATTTCTCATCTAGTTTTTTCATGATTTTCAATAAATAAAGAATTGACTGAACTGATCAGGCCCAAATTGTCTTTTTAATGGCCGATGGAATTTGTCCCTGTGCATGTGTCTAGCATTTTGGACCATAGAGAAAAATAAAGAAAATGATAAATTAATTCATATTTTCTAAAAGTATGTTTTCAAAATGAAATGATAATCTTAAAGGGACTGTAAGCGTTATAATTTCAAGTAACCCTCAATTAAAAGATGGCAATTCTCGATTCACCGGTATCTTTAAAACCTTCATCTGATCAGTAATGTGGAAGATATTGTCGTTTTTCTAGATTTAAAAGTGCTAATTCTGATAATTTCAACATTCTTTCCTGCAGTTGAATTGCGCAAATCACTTTTGTCGAGAACCACAATTGATAAAAACAATTTTTTGAATTTATAAACATTTCTGTAAATTTAATTCATACTTGATCAGACATAAGGTACTAATGCAAGGAAAGTTATTACAGAAGTGTACGCTTTTTTTGTACTGCAGTGTACTGTCTTTGGGCGGAAAAGTAAACACAAGACAAATGTCACAGCCTGACATGGGATCCATTTTCACAAAAATAATCTATGAAATATTCTGGTTATAGGAAACTTTTATGTGAATTATCAAAATTATCAAAAATTAATGCTTTTAACCTCCTCGGATACTAAACGAACACTGATGCATCTATTCATGTTTACAAATTCCGACCAGAGAGAACTGGTTTCAATATGTACGTAGACTATACACAACCGCAATTTACTTTCCTTGCATTAGAACCTTGATCAGACACAAGCTTTTCGGGGTACCGTTGTGAATCGGGTATTAAAATCATTGCATGGATGGATGGTCACTTGAAATTACGCTTACAGTCCCTTTAAACATATGTCTGTCCGGTTTTATTTTAAAGCAAAGTATTTGCAACCTTTAAGGAAAATATTGAAGCTTTGTATTAAACATAATACTTGGGTAAAAATCCCCCTCTCTTCTCCCCAGAAATAGGATTAAAATATATATACAGGGTGTCCCAGAAAACACTGTATAGTAGGGGTATTAGTAACTGAGGAAACAATTTTCGTTTAAATTTTACGATCAAGGTGTCATTCGAAAGCTCTATATTTCAGTTATTTCATGATGTTAAATTTTTCTTTCTAGGCCTCATACTTTTTTGTTACAACCAATTATTTGAGCGCAAGTCTAAAATCGATTTCCCGGATTTTTCAAAAATTGTACTCTCTTTTTGTCTGTTTTTTGTTTGTCCGACCGAACATAACTCAGAAACCCTTGGACCAATTTTCCTCAAATTTGGATTGAAAAACTTGGGAGAACTACGAGAATGATTCTAGTTTTTAAAAAAAAAGATTTTAAGTTGCGTGGGTCCACTTATATGGGGAAAAGTAGCTGAAATCGTAATTTACGACAAAGCGCGGGAAACGGCGGGACTATGACTATACCCTGGGTTCCAAAGCTAGTACAAATATATTTTAGAAGTGCCTCCTATACTTCCCTGGATACCGGAACTGTTCTGGAGTCCAGGAACTCTAGAATACATCTCTCTCTCTCCCCTAGACCAGAGTATAGGTAATTAAACAAGCAAGAAAATGGCCGAAAATTATTCCATAAATATTATGAATATTCCATCATCTTCTTCGAACACACCTCCGCTGTCGGAGACTCAATATTATTCTGTAAGCACGGACATTGGATAGATTTTATTCAATGCAAATAATGACAATTTTTTTCGGTTTAAACCTATGACGATTGGAGGGAAAGTTTTTTTTCACTGTGGTGGACAGTCAAACGGTTTCGAAAAAAGTCAGAAATGGCTGATAACTTTTTTATTAATTAAGCTACAGAGCAAAATTTATATATTTGAAAAATGGATGTAATAACTTGTGTCACGTATTAATATTTGTCAAAAGTAAAAATATTTATTTTTGAACATTTTCCGACGTGCTTTTTGTACTGTTTAAAAATCCTTCTTTGCATCCTAACCATTAAAGATATAGGTCTAACATTTTGGATGAGCATGCCTTGAAAACTTGGACTAGGGACATGTATCATACTCCCCTATCTTAACGATCTAAGTCAAAATCATAGAGGGGGGAACCCCCCCCCCACCCCCATCTATATTAGACAAAAATAGCCCAATCTTTTAAATCGGTTTATACATTGAAGCCTAGAAAACTGTTAAATAGGAAAACAAAATTAATACAAAAATCAGTTTATTTAATCTTTTTACGAAGCAAATAGATTTAGGTGGTAGGCGATTTATCAATATAATGAAGACGACTTATGTATTTGAGTTTAAATTGTTAGCAATTTTTTTTCGAAATAAATAGAAGCTTTTTTAACTGACAGCTTCTCTTTGTTTTCATGTTTTTATGAATCCATGCTGCAGTTTAAAAGCTTAATAAAAACCAAAATTGAAATCGAATGTCACCCCAACATAAATTTCACTAGAAGAGGATTGTTCGCTTGGCGTACATACCGTCCCGTTTTGCCGCTATATAGATATATAGTCTTTGTACAGTTGATTAAAAGTCGCCCCGGTACTTGAAATGAACCGGAGTTTAAAATGTCCCTCTTCCCAACCTAAAAAAAGACAACATAAAATTCAGTTTTCCAGAGGATGGCAATTTTTCCAAATATTTAGACATCATTCTCTAGCTTTCAGTGTTTACCTTAATCAGACTAGCACTTGTTCTTGATAAAAAAAAACTTTTTTATTTCACGGGCAACGCTGAGCACTTCAGGTATTTAGATAAAAAAACGTTATTTTCAAATCGTGAGTAAACTTACAAACCTCAGAAATTTCCTTTATTTTTTATATCGATATAAGAAATTTTTAATTAATAATTTTTAAGATATTCAAAAGAGGTATTCTCTTAACATGACAAAAGATTGTTAAAAGAATATTAGAATACTTCTAAAGACTGATTAATAATTTCTAGGCTTTTAAAAAAGCTTCGCTTTATTTTTCTCTTGAAGTAATTTTAATATAAATTGTTGCTTTAATTACCACCATTTTCTTCGTACATCATAAAACTAACAAAGGAATTGAGATTATATAAATCAAAGAGTTACACCATAAAGTTGCAAAGATTAATGGGATTAGAAAATTTTGTTTTGTGGCAAAGACTCAGATTTTCCAGTTTCATTGGCGGAGTTACCACACAAAATTTTGAACTGGTCAGTTCAACCGTTTTGATGTTTATTGGTTTCAAACAAACAATTACCAAATATACATAAAAGTTTATGTTAAGAAAACATGAAGGAGGTGGACATGATACAGAGACTCCTTCTCTGCTCTCTCTTCAGCTAGAAGGAGCATATGGACAGGTGAATAAATTAACAAATCTGTCCTACTTGACAGTATGACACCTTAAAGTGGACTGGAAAGTGAATTGAAACTGTAAATATGGGCGCGTTAGTTTTTTTTAATTCGTTTGTTCATTGTTTGTTCATCGTTTGTTTATCATTCGTTCATTGTTTGTTCATTGTTCGTTCATCATTCTTTCATCGTTCATACATCGCTCGTACATCCCTTGTTCATCGTTCGTGAATCGTTCGTTCATCATTCGTTTATCGATCGTTCATTGTTTGTTCATTATTCGTTCATTATTCGTTTATCGTTTGTTCATTGTTTGTTCATCGTTTTTTCTTTGTTCGTACATCATTTGTTCATCGTTTGTTCATCGATCGTTCATCGTTTGTTCATTATTCCCTTATCGTTTGTTGATAGTTTGTTCATTGTTCATTTCTTGTTTGTTCATCGTGTATTCATTGTTCGTTCATCATTCTTTCATCGTTCGTTCATTGTTCGTTCGTAATTTTTTCATTGTTTGTGCATCGTTTGTTCATTGTTTGTTCATCGTTCGTTCATTGTTTGTTCATCGTTCGTTCATCATTCGTACATCATTTGTTCATCGTTCCTTCATTGTTTGTACATCATTCATTCATTGTTTGTTCATTGTATGTTTACTGTTCCTTCATGGTTCCTTCATCGTTTGTTTATAGTTCGTTCATCATTTGTTCATCGATTGTTTATTGTTTGTTCATCGTTCGTTCATGGTTCGTTCATGGTTCGTTCATCATTAAAAAATTTGTTGTTTTCAGGCGATGTTGGTTGGATCTGAGTTTTCAAGAGAAGACACGCTGTCACCTCATATATCAGGGTCCACAGGTTAGTGTATAGCTCAGCACTACTATATCAGGGTCCACAGGTTAGTGTATAGCTCAGCACTACTATGTCAGGGTCCACAGGTTAGCTCAGCACTATACTATTTAATGACCATGTTTATCAAGAATTTAGCTAAAAATTCCGTTTCTTTAACAAAATAATGGAATGTTTTGAAAATACTGTTCCTTAATAGTGCTTTTAAGTGTTATATTAACAGTTAACATAATTCCACATCTAACTTTATGAGACTAAGAATCTAGCAGCGAGAATATTCAAGTGGAAATCTACATTTTTGACTTAAAAAAAAACATTCCATGGCCGAATGTTTACCCATATTTTTAAAAAGCACCAGATCGTTTTTTACTTTTTAATGGATTTTCTCTTTTCTTCTTTACTCTGAGTCCATTTAAAGATTTGCATGGAATTAGGGTTCGCACTTTTCGCGAGCGCATGAAATGCGAAAAAAAAAATTTGCGAAAAATGCGAAATTTTCGCGAAACGATTTTACTTTTTCGCTGGAAACCCTAAATGGAATCATCTATAAGCTTAAACTTAAAAATCACGAGAGTTCTATTTTGATAAATTAAATAGTATACAGTTAATTCAAACAGAACATTGGGTTGAATTTTGGCTCTTTTTATTAGAAAAACAAACATTGACTTGTGTAATAAATATTTAAAGGAATAGAGCCTTAGTTGATTCTTATAGCTTCAATTCCTGTTTGTCAAACCTTTCATGTTTCAAACTTTGATTCTTATTGTTGAAAATATGTTGAAAGTACAGGATGTCTTTCCAAAAAACATACTTTTGGTACAATTTTTGTGATACATGCCGTTTAAAAATTCATAGGTCTCCGCCAATCGGAAATGTTACTAAGATTTCGAAAATGTCCAAAAAATATTTAAAATTTAATTTTTGCGCGTTTTTGGTACACCCTGTATAAAAACCAGGTCATAAACTGCAACTGTTACCCGAAACTTCAAAACATTTAACTTCTTTGATATATTTATATATTAGGGGATATTTTACCCTTTGCAGCTAAAATGATGCTAGACGTAAAATTTAAGATTCTCCAATTGTAAAGTTTTGTTTCTGATTAACAACGGTATTTATTAAACTTTATAACTGATCATTCATGCGCTGAAAACTCCATCAAGTAGAAATCCATTCCAACATTTAGAAAAATACACCTTTAAACTTGAAGCTACGAAAAAGCTTATTGTATTTCTTTAATGTACATTGTACATGACTGGCTTAAAATTGCACAAATAAGTTAATAATAAAAAAAGCTAAGGTGACACTTCAAATTTAACCGAGTCGTGATAATGTATGCACAATTGTCGTAGCTTCTTGGATCTCTGTGAGAGTGAATTGTATAAATGTATATCTTTATAGTATGTAGCTTATCTTGAGGGCGGGTAAATCTGTCAATTTAGAAGAAAAAATTGTCACTTAGGCACATTTTACTTTTTTGTATTTTAAATCATCTTTATTATGTTCTTCTTGAATCAATTTAAGATTCACAATTTTTTTATCTCTCACAAAATTGGTTACGCCATAGATTAATAACAATACAGGTAGAACACTAGATAACCCCTTTTCAAGATGTAGAGGTTTTTCGTTCACAATAAGACAGAAACCCAAGGAGTTACGCGCATGCCACATTAAACAGGCTCTCTGTCTTGTAACTTAATGCGTCATGCTCGAAACTCCTTGGGCTTCTGCCTCAGGGCTATTGTGAACGGTAAACACCTTAATCTTAAAAAGACGACATCTAGTGTTCTATCTGTATTTTCGTTATGTAAGCCAGGACTAATAATATTTATAGAACTAGGCTTTGAGGGCGCTTTGCGCCCAACTTCTATTTCAATTGTATCATTGAAAGACGAAGAAAAAAAATTTCGTGGATTTTAAAGATTTTATAAAATTTTACAAAAATGTAAAACTTTTAAACACAAATTTATTTAATTTTTATCATTCATAAACCTTCCCCGGGGTCACGCGAGATCCCACAAAAAAATTGGGCCCGATCGGTTCAGCAGTTTGACGTTTATTGGATACAAACAAACAGACAGACAAGCCAAATGTATATATAGATGAATTGAAATAATCTAAAAAATAAAAATCCGACATTTAGGTTTAGTCGGAGAAAGTACAGATACTCTGATCAATCTACAGGATGTGCCCTCCGATTTAACTCCCTCCGATTTAACTCCCTCCGATCTAGCTTCCTCTGACATTTTAGCCTCCGATAATCCTGCCTCCGACCAAGCTAGAAATGAGAATCCTGAACCAAGATCAGAACTTCTTTTTCCTGAACTCATGAAGGTCAAATTTTGAAAATTTTAAATATTTATATTTTTTGCCGTACACTATGCGACGGAATATCAAATTCATTTATAAAAAACTACTCATCTTTTTAAAGAAACCCATGGCCGGGTACCCTGGGAAAACATTAGCTATAAAAATATTTTTTTAATCGAATTTTTTTTTTTACGAATTTTGCTTTAAAATTCGAAATCTTTTTTACAGGTGCATATTTATATAAATCTACTGGTTACTATAATTATTGTCGTTGACTGCCGCGCAAACCGAAGACGATGTAAAAGTAGTTCTGTACAACCATTTGGGACCCTGTATTATAAATTCACTGGTACAAGAAAGTTTAACATTAAAAGAATTTAATAGTTCCAAATGTGGTTTTTTTCCAAATTTTAAACAGAATTTTATAGATTCTTAAATCCGTAATATTCTGTTCACAACTTCAACCAAAATATTCGCCATGGTAGTTTGATACTCTAGGAATACCCATACAGGATGAGACTGTAAAAACGACATGAATAGATTATATTAAGTGTTCTGCCTTAAAGTAAGTCATTGATAACTTATCAAATAATTTGCTATGGCAAGAAACAAGTTTAAAAAAAATCATAATCATAAATCAAAAATACAGAAAACAACTTCGGATAGTCGTCTTTGAAGTCCCTTCTTTTACAAAATAAATGTTAGGCTTTTTTCTAACATTGGACTCTTTTTAAAACAAGCGTGTTTTCTTTACGATGTATTCGCTAAATTCGGGAAAACTAATGATTTTTAGGCGGAAATAATTAAATTTTGGGGGAAAATAATATCAAAAATAATTTCCCGTGTTTTAGAATGATAAGGATGAGAGGATAAAAATGGTTCTCACTCGTCGAGCAACAGTGGAAGAGCAACCAGGGATCAAATTTAATGAATTTGAGCCACGGCGCTGAACTACCAAATGTTGGTTCAAATTTAAACCACTGATTCAAACCTTTACATTCATAAGGATTAAGATAATTATTTGGAGAGTAAATTAGTGAATCAGGATTTGAACCGGCGTTAGGTAGTTCAACGAGTTCTTGCAATTCATTAAATTCGGACACAGAACTTTCTCAACAAGAAGAAACTGTTCAAATGTTTGAAACTATGTATGGATCAGTTTATGAGGGAGGTGTTCTTAATGAGATAAAAATAGCTGAGGTAAGTAACAGTCAGCAAGCTTTCACTTTCAAATCCCCTTGAAACCCTCTAAATGTAGATTTATTGTGTTTTTTTCCTTTTATTGAATATTTTCAACATCTAAGTACATCTATATATAAATTTGGCTTGTCTGTCTGTTTGTTTGTGTCCAATAAACGTCAAATGGCTGAACCGATCGGGCCCAAATTTTGTGTGGGACATCACGTGACCACAGGGAAGGTTTATGAATGATAAAATTTTTTTAAAAATGTGTTTTAAAGGTTTTAAATTTTGTAAAAAAATTGAATTCTTGAAAATCCGCGAATTTTTTTTTAAAATCCGCGAAATTTTTTTCTTCTTTGTTTTAAAATGTAAACAAAAAGAACATGTTCACAATTTAAGTAGAAGATGGGCGTGAAGCGCCCTAAAAGCCTAGTATTTATAAATTCAAATATTCTTCTGACTTTTTTATTCTATTTATTTTTATTCTAATATACGTAGATTAAGACATGGCCGCCCTAAAAGCCTAGTATTTATAAATTCAAATATTCTTCTGACTTTTTTATTCTATTTATTTTTATTCTAATATACGTAGATTAAGACATGTTTGCGTCTTAATATTTATATATTTACTAGGCTAAAGGTTTGGCTCAATCTTTCACCATTTTCTCTTCGATAGAACAAAACTAAATTTTTTTTCCGTATTTAACATTTTTTTGCGCATTTTCAAAATTTGTCAAAATTCAAATGTTGTAATTCTGAACACACATAAATAAACCTTCCCTTGGGTCATGTGACAAAATTTGTCCCCGATCGGTTTAGCCATTTTAACGTTTTTTGGATAAAAATGAACAATTTACACAGACAGACAAGCAAAGTGTAATATAGAGGATGTCTGTCTTCTTCAGTAATTTTTAAAGTTTTAAACTTAACTTGCTACGATTTAACTATCCATACGGCCAATAACCCACATTTATAACTTTTTCTCTTCGTTCATAAATTCCGATCATTGCTTTTAATATTTTACTAAATACATGAAAAATGATTTCAGTTTTTTTATTTACAAAATGAAACTGTTTCTACAAATATAATATATACATTAAGTAATATATTATTATTTTTCCTGCTAACATCGTTAAAAGGAATCAGCTTTTCAGAATAAAATGCTTTCAATATTTCACTAAGTACATATCCAATTAAATCAAATTTTTACCAAAAGAGTAAAACTCTTAAAAATAGATTTTGTCATGAAATTTGTTTTCCTCAAATAAATTTTGATAACGAATATCCAGGTTGTGGAGATCCTTGGAGAACAGATTGAAGAGAGTACAGGATTTCAGGTACAATTTTTTCAAATAAGCAGTCTTCAATTTGTGAAAACAAAAGGAAATTTTATTTTCCTTTAATTTGCTTTTATGAAATTAAAAACCGGAACTTTGAAGACTGTTAGGATATTAATTTTCAAAAACTAATATTTTAAGGAAACGTATAAGTTACTGTTTTCTTTAATTTGTCAAAAAACAGTTTTGTTTCTAAATATCCTTAAAATATTTAAAAAACAAAAAATTTGAATTTTAAATTTAATGTCGAGTTTGGGGCAGCATGTATAAAAAAACATACTATAGGGGAAGAACGATTAATAAATGTTTAATATAAACACGTAGCATTAATGAGAAATTTGATTTTCGGATTTTAGTTGAAGATTAAACAAATTTTGACTTTTTGTGAAATTGTACATTACGAATAAAAATAAAAGTGTTCTGTGCCTGTCTTAATTAAAGGATTTTATTCAATTTTGATAGAATTTATCACACCTAATATTGACCGTTGTAGGGTGATAAAATGACTTAATTGCTCTACAACAAGGCGAAAAAGTAACTTTTTCACCCTGCTATTCAAATTTCAAATTTCATACCTAATTTGTCTCATTGTAGGGTGATAAAGTTACCTAATCACACTACAACAGGGTTATTAAGTAACTTTATCGACCTGAGGATAAAGTATACCCCCTCTAGTGTTATTAATATGTACCAGGTAGAGGATTCAACCGGATAAAGTATACCCCCTCTAGTGTTATTAATATGTACCCAGGTAGAGGATTCAACCGGATAAAGTATACCCCCTCTAGTGTTATTAATATGTACCCAGGTAGAGGATTCAACTATAACAGCTGACCTGGTTGATGTTGGTTGTGATGCTGAAGTAGCTGAGTTGACCTGTAGGGATAGAGAAATACAGGTACACAGACACGGTATTAGAAATGCTCTCACGCTAAATTCTAGACTATTGCCAAGTACTTAACGATAGATTTCGGAATAAAAAAAGTCGTTTATTGCCAGCAAAGGTTGGATGGCTACAAAATAAGAGAAAACAAATCGCTTGTATTTAACCAAAAAATCGCTTAGTTAGCAGTAATTCAACTTTTCCTGTCAAATAAAACTTATTTTATTTAAAATCTTTAAACTAAAAACAAGCTTTGAATGTATATGCCTAAGGCTGCCAAAAAGTATAGGTGAGCTTGGATAATGTATAACCATAACATAACATAGCTTAGGTTTAGACAATTTGTTCAGAAAAATAAAAATACATCAAAATTGTTATTATATTCTTATCATTAATCATTTGTTTGCAGTTTTTTTTAGCTTTACAAGGCTTTAATGTTTTAATTTAAAATCTTTAAAATTTCTGTTATAACATTTTATGCAAACTTTTGTGCCCAAATCCTTCTGATAAAAAGTTTGGATTAAAGGGAGTGTTTGCGAAATATACCTATGTATAGGTGTATAGGTTTACGTCGAATCGAATTCGATGGTGATCGCTACTAATCTTACTTCTATCTGTTGCGTCTGTAAGGAGAAAATGGGTATACATAAGACAACTCATACCGAAGAGCTTCCAAACACGGATTTGCAATATTTCACCCAGAAGCATCGAGAGCAAAGATACCTAGCAGTAAAAAAAAAATCGTCGTTTAAAGTATATTGTATATGAAACAAAGATTATTAGCGATAACCATTGAATTTGATTCGACGTTAGCCTATAACCCCCTTTTATATTTCGCGAACGCTCCCTTTAAAATCTTTTGTTTGAGTAAAAATATTATACCTTTAATAAAAACAAAAATTAAAATGCAATTCTAAACTGGGAAACACATCTCTGACGAAGCAAAACACGATGCCAACTATGTTTTACAAGTTGACCAGGATAGCACAAGGAAGCTTCTTCACTAATATGCGAACTGCACTTTGTCATGTATAAACGTCAAATTTTTAAATCCCTATATCTTTGCAACTTGATCAACCTCATGGTGCACAGCTTTGATTTTCAAACTTGAATTGCAAAGATATCAGGATTATAAATTCAGAATTTTTGACAACAACTTGATAGTTTAAAAAAGTAGTTAATGTAAATTTATTCAGTCATACCTGCCTAGTATACAACCTCCTTGGAGAACTCAGACTGAAGGACGGGATTTTAAACTTGTGGTTCAGGTAAATACTTGGTTCAGGTAAACACTTGGTTCAGGTAAACACTTGGTTCAGATAAACATTTGGTTCAGGTAAGCATTTGGTTCAGGTAACCACTTGGTTCAGGTAAACACTTGGTTCAGGTAAACCCTTGGTTCAGGTAAACACTTGGTTCAGGTAAACAAACTAAACACTAGGTTCAGGTAAACACTTGGTTCAGGTGAACACTAGGTTCAGGTAAACACTTGGTTCAGGTAAACAATTTAAACACTTGGTTCAGGTAAACACTTGGTTCAGGTAAACACTAGGTTCAGGTAAACACTTGGTTCAGGTAAACACTTGGTTCAGGTAAACACTTGGTTCAGGTGAACACTTGGTTCAGGTAAACACTAGGTTCAGGTGAACACTTGGTTCAGGTGAACACTTGGTTCAGGTGAACACTAGGTTCAGGTGAACACTAGGTTCAGGTAAACAATTTAAACACTAGGTTCAGGTAAACAAATTGAACACTTGGTTTAGGTAAACACTTGGTTCAGGTAAACAATTTAAAAACTAGGTTCAGGTAAACCAGCTAAACACTAGGTTCAGGTAAACAAATTAAACACTTGGTTCAGGTAAACAAACTAAACACTTGGTTCAGGTAAACAAACTAAACACTTGGTTCAGATAAACAAACTAAACACTTGGTTCAGGTAAACACTTGGTTCAGGTAAACAAATTGAATACTTGGTTCAGGTAAACAAACTGAACACTTGGTTCAGGTAAACAAACTAAACAATAGGCTCAGGTAAATAGACTAAACTTTTGGTTCGGGTTAAACAAACTGAACACTTTTTTATTCAAAAATTAACAGCTATTGGGGAGCGGAAATGCGGTAGTTTTGCAGTTTTCCATCCTAGAGACTTTGGTTCCCCTGAATTCTAAATATTTATCGATTTTTCAACCTTCTTCCCGACCTTTGGCCCTTGAATTGGAAAGGGGCCAATAACGATTCTTGCGGAGTCACTTGCAAGGCAAAAAATTAGATTTTTTGAAAACGAACCTCTATTGTTGTTTAGGATTGTGGGGATCAGAAACCAGAGTTAAAGTGGGATAAAGGTAGAACTGATACCTGGAGCAAGGATGAAGAGAGCACCTGGAGTCCAGATAAAGTTACCCCCTGGAGCTACCAGGAACCGGAGGAAACCTGGATTAGATCTAAGTTCCTGGTTGAGCGGGTTCCTGGCAAGGATTCTGTATCAACAAACCCTGATTATACTTTAAACCATCCAGACCTAACACAGGTTAATTTAATTACATTAAAGGGATTAAAGGCTTGATTTCTGACGCCTTAATTAAAAACCAAAAAAAATGCATTGTTTGAGTCACATCGGTACCCTTAAGCGCTAAGTTTGATTTAGAATAAATGCGATTTATCTTTCAAAACTTGTTTTTTTTCAATTGGGGTTTCTCTTTACAAAAGACTTGCGTTCTTATTGTCCCTTTAAATAAATTCCTGTCTTTGAGGTGACAATATGAACCGCCATGTCTGTGGAAAGTACCGTCTTTCCTTTTAAAGATTCACTGGTTCACTTTGAATCTACGGTTCCCTTTAAACCTCTATTTAATTCATAGTGTGCTTTGCGTTTGCGTTTGCTTCCAACAGTTTTTAAAAACAAGTCACTGTACAATGAAACCAAATTAAAAATAATCAATTTCTTTTAAAAAGGTGATGAAAATTTTGTGCATTCATGATCAGAAAAAAACGTTAAAGGGAACTTTAGTGATCTGGACATGTTTTGTCATGAAGAAGTCCTTGAAATAGCGTTTACAATCCCTATAGTTAATGCATTTATAATGGACACAATGTAGATCTAATTTGTATTGTAAAAATTATTTAAAAACAATTTCAAAAGTATGTTTAAGTTCAAGTATTTATATTTATGTAACAATGGCCGAACTACAAAAGTGTCTCTAAGTCCACTAAGTATTCTTTAACCCACACTTAAAGTTCTCTGAATCTATTTCTCTACCGCTAAATGATCAACTCACCCATGGGTATTCAGAGTCTATATCCAACTAACTATATTTAGGTCTTATGGTACAGGTCAAACTACAACTATTAACATATATATATACAGGATGCTTTAATATAAAGGACAAGCTGAAGAGCCCGGCATTGCCCATGGAAAAAAAAATTAAAATTTTTTTAAAAATGTTGAAATTTTTTTTTTAGCCTTTGACACCCTCAGGCACACCCATGAGTGTCCATAACAAATGTTAGCCCAATCGGCTATATGCAACATACATATATTTATACGAATGCATTGTTTTATTATAAAGGATATTATTATATTTATTACATATATTTTCCTTATTTTCTATCTCTTGCAGCTTATATATGTCGCAAAGGCCAATGAAGGAAATTGGCAGCATTCAATACTTTTTGAAGTAAAAAACGGCGATATCTTACTTTATGTTGCTTTGATTTTGGTTCAAAGGGTATCGTTGTAAATCAAACATGCACATCTTTAAACATCTTTAATCTACCTTTAAGTAAAACTGCCATATTTTTATACTATTGTTTTTTTCTCCAAAATTCTCTATATTTTTGTTTAGGGGTCTCTTCATCTGCCGGCTGAACTATGGGCGGATACAGATAGTTCATCGCCGGAAATTTGGCAAAAAATGGCGGTCCAGACTGTTGCAGACAAATTTAGTGCGGAACTTTGGCAAGAGATGGCAGTGCAGTCGCCGGAGAATACTATCTACTCCGCTAGCACTAATAAGAAGAAGGATAGAACCAATATTATGCAGATAAATTGGAATCAGACAAAAGACGACATTAGGAGTGATCTAGAACAGAAATGTTTATCTAAGGTAATATGTCTAAACCAATGAAGTAAATACTCAGTTTGTTTAATTTCGCATATATCTTGGCTATTTATATTCATTTTTACAATTACTGAGTTTACTATGTATTTGATAAAATCCATTGAAAAATTGTCAAGACGACATTTTATAAACTCTTTCAATGTTTCCGATGTTTTCGGTTAAACAGTATATGATCTAGAATTTAAAAAAACCAGAGGTCGTAAATTTTGTGTGAACTGGCGTTTATCCTAACAGCACCTAAACAATTATTTTCTTGTTAAAATTTGCAATTTTTTATTTGTGTCCAAGTATACTGTTAAAATCACAGTTTTATTTTACTGTTTGAAGGCGGCCACGTTTCCCCGGTTACAGCGACGAGCAGATAAATCTGAGTTCTTCTTTGAACAGGAGGGAACAGAATCAGATTATGAAACTTTAAGAACTTCAGGTACATGGTACAGTCACAGTGGTCCAAGCTTCCGCGCAAAAATTGCTGAGAATTTTGCTACTTATTTAAATTTTCATATCAGTCTGGATGTGTGTGGAGTAAGACCTATAAAACTGTGAAATATGAAGACGACGGTTAGATTCAAGTTACGATTTAAATGATCCACTGAGCATTATATAAAGTTATTTTCCAATGACGCTTTCTTGTAAAAATATTCGCTTTTATCAACATTAAGATTGTTTAAATGTCGTCTTTCTATTTCTTATCGTAATGGGTCTCTCTTTATTAACCGGGATATTTAGAGAATGGTAATTTAAATGTGACGTTAGTGCGAAAGGATGTAATTTGAGAAATCTACATGACAAAATTGCAAGGGTATCTGTATTAATGTTATAGTGAATATATTTTGAAATCGGCTCAACAGGATATATGTCACCATCAAATAAAGCAAATCTAAAGAAACTGCATAAGTTCTACAAACCCAGTGTTTTCAAAGCAATATATGCGAAAATCTATCAAGCCTTGCAGTGCTGTCATCACTCATCATACCACATTTTAGAAAACGAAAAACGCTAGACTGGGACCAAGAAATCCCATTTCTGAAAACCATCTCTGAATAACTAAACAAAGTTCATAATAAAAGTCTTGAATTGCACCTGTTTTTTGGCAAACACTGTCAATCATAAAATGCGATACCCAGAGAAAAGAGTATTTACGGTATTAAATTGTAAACTTTTATATTGTTTTATGCAATTTTGCTTTAGACACTGAGGAAAAGCTGCTATTTTTTCTTTCATAAAAAAAGATAAATTATGTCAATTTTTTCTGCAAGTTTTTTAACAATAAAAAAGGACTTAATAATATAAATCCATCTTTCTGTAGTTGAAACTAAAGTTTAACGGATCGGACTGAAGCAAGTAAATTTAAAAATGGAGCTGGATCGAAAGTCAATTAAAAATGTAAAAATATTTTGCATTTATCCAAATAATTTTCTTTTTCTTCTTTACGACGGATTTAATGAAGTATACATTACTAGACCTAAATATTGTGGTATTTATTGATTATTTTATTAAGAATCTAAAAGCTGTAAAAACTGTATCACTATCATCCTGGAGTGGACTAACAGGCCTAACACTTAAGACATTTTAATCATGGTTAAATTTAAATCTGATTCTTACCATGGTAAAATGAATGAAGACGACAGATTCCTTAGTTAAATTTAACCAGAAGTAAAATCATTGTAATGGTTTGCGGCATTAGCGGCAGCTCGGATTTGAACCCTAGTGTTACCATATAAATGACTCAAGGGGTTACACTAGATCTACCCAGGGTTTAAATGGGTTTAACCATGGCTAAACGAATGCGCTCTCTAGTTTTAAGACTAAAGTTTATCGATGTCAACATATTCTTGGTACAAAAATACAAAACGCTTCTCAACAAAAGTCTTTGCCTTATTCTGAAAAAGAAAGATGAAAGGAAGGAAGAGAAATAAACAGAAACTGTAAATACAGTCATCGGCCTTACAATTCAAAATTAGGCAGTTTCAAAATCTAAAAATCTTTTAGGATTTAAAAAATAATTGAAAAGGAAAAATCAGAAAATAGTGATATTTATAGAAAATATAGGAAAATTTAATTTTGCAAATATCTAGATTTTTTAATAATGCAAAATATTTTTGGTAAAATAATTTAATTTCTAAAAATTTCTACTTGTTGTTGTTTAGGTGCAGAAGATACAGATCTAGAAGATGAAGATACGAGTCGTACTATTCAGGTTTAAAAAATAAATTAATGAGATTTTAGACCGTCATTAACTGTAATCTTCCGTGGATAGAGTGGCATGTCCAATTCACGACTGGGTATTATTAATTAAACGCTTTTTTGGATCAATGAGATATCCAAGTTTTGTTTTTGAAAGTTGATTATTTTCATTCGTATAGATAGTGACTTTTGCATTTCAAGCTTTGGAAACCATGGAGAAATTATAAGAATTAAACACTTCCTTAACTTATTGATAAGATTACATAAGTGATTTTTTTATGGAAAATCACTTGAACATTAATTTCTAAATCGGAAAAGTAAATAAAAACCAAATCATAAATCCGGATCCATAACCCACGCAAAAATCTAAATTACATTTGAATAAATATTAAAGTTTTTAAGAATATTTATTGGAAATATTATTTCTAAAAATACCGTACTAGGCGTTTACTTAATTAATTAAAGGGTATAAAGATTTGCACGTCCGATTCAAAATGGTATCTTTTATCCACTCATTTTTCTATATCCTTTTTTATATACGCTCTGCACATATCTGCAAATTATTTTGCAGAGAAACCTCAGCTGAAAATAATCAAATTTCAGATGGTTTAAAGAGAACTATTATGAAATACATCCCGTACTTTGTTGACAGTCCCTTTATTAAACGACGGACGAAAGATTTACTATATATACTGATGTTTCGATTTAACCTTCGAAGTTTTTTAAATTATACAATGAAAACTATTTTGGTCTTATTCTCAATTCCTAGTACGAAATATAAATGTGGTTTTCAAGATTTTAAATAATCCATTAAAAGCAAGATTCTATCAAGTGTATCTCAAAGAAATGAAAATATGTTTTTTCTGTTTTTATAATTTAAGTGCAAAAAGTTTTAATAAAAACCGAAAGTTTAATACTTGTAAAATGATTTATGATCGCAATGCATTAAATTTACAATATTGGCACATGCACATAACTTCCAGGGGATTTTACAAACCACAATACCATAGGTTTAACAAACAAATGTTGCCAATAAATCAAACAAAACATTTATCTTTTTACAAAAGCTTTGCATTGCTCCAGGATGTTTTCAATTATTTTAAGGAACAAAATAGATTATCAAGTACAATAGGTGGCAACATAGAAATGAACCAATTATAAACAGGTGTCTCAGGTGTCAAATATAACAAGGAAAACGAAGGTTTTCCAAGATCAAATAAAAAAGTGTAAAACCAGAAAATAAAGAAAACAAATGCATTTATTTTACTGTAAGATAAGCACTTTATTCTAAAATTATCACTATTATTAATAATTTTGTCGGGCACAAAAACTAAATTGACACGTGAGAATACAGAAATACAGTTGTACTGATAGTGTACAAATTTTACGTTGCCATCTATTGTACTAGAATCTATTTGGAAGGAACAGCAAAATGGTACAGAAGGAACCATACAACTATTGCATAAGAAGACGACATTCAAGCAATTTTATGTTTATATGATGTCGTTGTAAAGCAAATACTTTTTAGCAGTAGATTGAAAATTGGCTTTGTATTTTTGTAAGTAAAATGGGTCTGTGTATGCTGCACACTTGCTGTATTTTATGTGCATAACTTGAGTCTGACAGCCGTCGTCCTATTTCATGATTTTTTGGGTTCCACTGTAGTAAAAATTTAAACTAAAACTCTGATTTTTCGAGGTCTTATAATCTTAATCTTTTTAACCTGAGTCCGAATTTAATGAATTTGAGCCGCGTCTCAAATCCGCCAAAAACCGGCTTCAACTAAGCGCCGGCTTAAATCTTAAGACATTAAATACAATTTTAAGTGGAACCCAGCATATTTGAGCTGCGACTTAAATTTCAGCTGGGGCTCAAATTCTTTGAATTCGGCCTCTGATGTGGGAAACAGTGCGTTGATGTTCCTAATATGAATTCTGCTAAATCTAATATTCGAAGTTTGAAAGTTACACAAAAGTTTTACACAATCAAGTTTCAAAGATATAGGGATTAGAAAGTTAAAATTTGAGGGTAGTAATTATTTTTTTAAATGAACTAAGCTGGAAGCTTTAGAATGAGATATCCTTAATCCCAATTACTTAATCTGAGTATCCAATGGACACAATTTTGATTTTCTTCTTTTAAACTATTCTTTCTTGGATATAGTAGAGAAAACTCAAAAACCGTTTTTTTTAGAGAGTCCCTCCCATTTCTGTCTATAATTTTAAATGGCGCGCAAAATTTCAAATTTATCGGCTTCATATACGCGACTCTGATTTGTTGAATTTTTATACACTTTTCAGGATACAAGTAAAAGATTAGGTTAGTCTCGATATTAAGAAAAAGAGAGGATCAAGCATTAATCTCGATATCCACCATTCTAAAGTTTTCAGCTCTGTAAACATAATTCTAAGTGATCCTCAAATCACTATTGATAGAGTGGCATTTCGCTTTAACAACAATATACCTTACATGCTTTTTCGGATCAACTTATATATGAATTAGATATCCACGTTTTATTTTTAGAAAACTGATTATTTTCAAATGTGGTTGCTCCTTTCTAGTTAATTGTTTCCAGGGTATTGTTGTGAATATGGCATACCCTTCTTTTACTTGAAAGAAATTTATATTATTTATTATTCTAGGAGGCTATCCAGCACCAGGCACATCAACGATTACCTTCACAGGAAACCATTTTTTCATTTTAAACCATTTTTTCATTTTAAACCATTTATTTCATTTTTTTCACTCTTTTTACAACAATTCTCTTTGCTTTAGTTTTAGTATTGCTTTCAAAAATATTATTGTGTTTTTTTTCTTTAATATACTTAAATTGAACTGGCCAATTTACTTGATTCAACATTATTATTTTAAGCTTTTGGACAGACATTTTTTCTTTATCAAGACAAATCAAATCCAAAAACTTTTTAACACATATCGTGCCGAAATTATAGTATTATAGGTAATTTTATAGAATGCTTGTGTACTTGTCTTGATGCTACGGATATCTAGATCAATTTTTTACAAAATAATCTAGTTTTTGATTATTTATGTATTCTTAGAATTTTCTTGGTCATTCAAGTTTAACAACACCAAATCCTTTAAACTTTCAAGATCTTTCATTTTAGAAACAGTTGACAAAATATATATATATATATATATATATACATATATCCGAATATATTTTATATTAAATTCACAATTGAGAGAGTAAAATTTAAAAAAAGGATTTGAGCTCTTGCCACAAACTTAAATTTTCAAATCTATATCTATTCTACATTTCAAACTTATATTATTTGATCTAACAGAATTGATATTTTGAAATATCTTAGATGTTTTGGGTTACAAAGATATAAGTTTGAGAAAATCAGATTTTGTGGCAACAACTAAATTCCTTTTTAATAATTCTCTCAATAACTTCTAAAATGTTTATCTTGAAACCCTTCAATTCCTACGGGCGCCCCTGGAATCTAATTTTTATACAATCTTGCATACAGATAAAGTTTCGACAAATTAGACATATTTCATAAGTTCTTGGCCATTCTTTTAAAAGCTAATTCTTCATTAAGAAAAAAAATCATACAATATCAACTAAAAAGAGTGTGCAAAAAATTTGTGCAAAAAAATTGTGCAAAATTTTTTTGAAAAACGGTTTTGTTATTACAGGAGGGAATATTCCAAATTAACAATGAACAGATTCATATCCATCCGCAATCTTTTCAGATAGGGAATAAAGATAAAGGTGAGTTTTCAGATAGGGAATACAGATAAAGGTGAGTTTTCAGATAGGGAATACAGATAAAGGTGAGTATCAAACTGTTTTTTTCTGACAATTGTTAATTATCTAAACACAAAAGAAATAATAAATAGATTATTCTAATAAATTATCAAATAAAATAAATTGAGTATAAGTGTAATGCTAAAATCTTTGTTGGCTTTATTAGAATTATTCAAATGTTCGTTTATAAACTTTGATAATGTTGGGGTTCTAAAGTATTGAATAATGTTAAAAGTGAAATTTATATATCTCAAAAACGTTTTTGGTAAACTACGAAAATAAATACATTAACCAATTAAAAAATTTGACTAATAAATATTTCATGAAATTATAACATTTTGTTTCATTTCCCAGAAAAGATTTGAGACTATGCCAAAACTCAAATTTACTAGTCCCTATGTGATTATATTTTTGGAATTTGCAGATTTTTATGTGATCTGTCAGAATTCAAGGTGTGAGATATCTAAGATTTACGATTAGAAAACAACAGCTTTATTTCAGAACTTGTTGATTCTTTTACCATATGAGGGTTTCGTCAAAAAAAAACTCTATGTCTAAAATTAAACAACAAATATCTAATTATCAATTTATATTAAGGATGCAAGTTACCCGAGGGTTTTGTAACTCCTGTTCGAATACCATCAAATAGGAGTATTCCTCATGATAAAGAACGGTAAATCATGTATTCATTGCAGGGCGTACACTGGGCAGGGAGAGCTTTATCCCTTTAAATTTTACAAAGATTCCTTTATGTTATATACGGTTCTTTTTCGGTGTTGGGGGTCGAAGCTTCATCCTTTCTAGTTTTAAAGGGCGAGAGTGCAGTGTTATAGAAAACATTTCTAGAATTTTTTTTATAACTTTAAACTTTCTAAACGTTGTAAAAAACATTAAATAGACTATCGAGAGGTACCATACCTTTCTGCTTGAATTCTGAACAAAAATCGGCTTTTTCTCCGGCCACAGTTGTCTTTGAAAAGTAAGACTAATTCCAATCAAAAGCGAATAGGCTGTTCAGTTTACCCTGAATTACCCAAACAAGTGAACGGTCCCTTTAAAACGTTTTAAACGTTGTACAATTGTTGAGTAAGAGCGCAAATTTGCTCTTGAAAAATCACAAGGATGGTCTATTGTGAAACCTAATCTAAAGATTCTATTTTTTGAAATGATGAAATTTAAATTAATTTCCTTGATTGCAAGTAGTGTAGTTAATCACTGTGAATCGTGTTTAGAAAAACAAATAAAATAAAAAGATTTCAAAACTGTACTTTTTAATGTTTACGTTCATTAAACTTTTCTATATATTTATCCTAAAAAAGTAAAAATTGGAAAAACGACCCGGAAACGAATACGATCGTTACAACACTTGTTCGTTTTTGAGCCGTTTTCCGGTGTTTTTGCGTTTTTTTTCTTCGGACATGGTCAAAATGTGACATAATTAAAGAAATGTAAATGTTTAGAAGAAATAATTTATAAAACAATTGCAGCTCTTACATTATGCCAGATTTTGACCTTGAAAAAAAATATAGACCAAAAACGACCCCGACTGAAAAAACATCACTAATTGCAGACACTCCCGAATATCCCGGGGACGAAATCAGCTCCGAGGTCCCTTCGGAGAACTCCTGATGGAGGAGATGGCTAAATCAGGATCCAGATCCAGCCCTTCTAAATCCTCCCCTTCCTCTTCTCTCCTTCCTTCATCTCCTACCTTCCCCCTTCTCCCCTCCTCCTCTCCTATCCCTTCCCCGGGCACCTACCAGTCTTCTATTATTTCATCCCTTCTAGCTCCACTTCACAATTATAATGTGAGTATTTTGTCTGAACCCTCTAAAGGGAATTTTAAGAAATGTTTGTGGTGTTTTTGGCTTTATTAGCATACTAGCTCAAGGGCCCGGCATTGTCCGTGGAATTTTAAAGAAGAAGAAAAAATATTATTGGAAAAAACATTTAGAATTTTTATAGCCCTTATTAACCAATGGGTTCCCTCAAAAAATGTCAGCCAATTTAGTCCAGCCATTTGGCCAGCTTAAAATATGGGTTCGATTGGTTGACCTGCTTTGAAGTTTATTGGATATAAACAAATAATAAACAAGCCAAACTTTGGACCCATCTAAGCCTATCTAGCTTCTCTCTCAATTCAATCTTCGTTTTAGCTGACAAAACGGGAAACACCGGGCTCTTCATATAAAAGCATGATTTAATGCGAAGCGCGGGTAAAAGCTGGGATTAGCTATGATAATGATTATGAATATATCCTGGGCAACTCCGGGCAATTAGCATATCGAATATGTCCAAAAGCAGTAACGATTTTAATATTTTCTTTAGTAAAATTATGCAGTTATATCCATATGCCAGGCCCATGTATACGTTAAAAACACTTTGAATATTAATACAATTTCCTATTATGAAAAAATTTATTGGCATATATAATTTGTATGAATAAATGAAAGTATAATCGATGATTATATCATGTTTTTTTTACTCTCTTGCACTGAACCTTTATGAAAATCCAATTTGCAAGAATAAATGAGCTATATATGTTAATTTTAAAAAATCTTAGATAGGTGAAAAAATTAACTTTTTAAATTAGATTTTGATCTTGTAGAATTCTGATTGTATTGAACCGGTGAAAACTGGAATTTCAAAACCGAGATTCTTCCTGAACAGATCTGAGAGCCTGGATCCACAAACACAACCTTCTCACTTCAACATCAATCCTACACTACAATCCTCATCTTCATCAGCATCCTCAATACAGTCCTTTCAAACTAGCATTTCTAAACAGGTGTCTTCTTCTTCTTATTATTATTATTTTTCTCCTTTTTCTTCTTCTCTTCTTCTTCTTCTTTTTCTTCTTCTTCTCCTTCTTCTTCTTCTCTTTCTTCTTCTTCTTCTTCTTCTTCTTCTTCTTCTTCTTCTTCTTCTTCTTCTTCTTCTTCTTCTTCTTCTTCTTCTTCTTAAATGATGATAATGATGATAATGATGATAATGATATTAATGATATTAATGATGATAATGATGATAATGATGATAATGATGATAATGATATTAATGATGATAATGATGATAATGATATTTCAGATCTAGTCCATCCCGGATTGAATTCCAGGTGCTGGGAGACGCATATAGGGGAAATATTCCCCAGTTTCTGGGTGCTGGGGAAAATGTTCAAGAAAACCGGGGAATTTTAGGGGAAGGGGCTCGAGGAGGGTTGTCTTCTGTACTGAGGAGAACTTCAGAAATTATTGGTGCCCAGGTGGGGGCAGGAGGGGGTCAAGAAACACTTATCAGGGGGGAGAAAGGTGGTTCTGCTTTCAGGATTATCAAGGTAAGTTTTAAAATGTATTATTTTTGTTATTTTGTATTTGTATTTATTTTGTATAATTATTTGTTGTATTTTATACAAACAGTTGTTTGTATGTATATATATGTAAATCATATTTTGTATAATTCTATCATTTTCATCCTCATTTCATAAACTTTAATATCACCATCATTATTAACATTATCACCCATATCAAAACATTCACTAACTTTATCATTAGAATCATAACAAGATGAGATTATTGTAGTCAATAAAATTAATATTATTAAAATTGTTATTAAAGGGACTGTAAGCGTAATTGAAAATGACCTTCCATGTAGAGAGGGACATAAATCCAATTCACAATAGTACCCTTTAAACCTTTGACCGGAGGGACATATATCCAATTCACAACGGTACCCTTTCAACCTTTGACCGATCAATGATGACAGGCTTTTCCTTATCTATCTTCAGAAACGAATACAGTTCAATTATACGCCTCTCGCTCAACATTTGATCGATACACACACGGAGTTCTTTATCATCGATGATCTTCCAAAGGGTTAAAGGGTACAGTTGTGAATCAAGGAAGACCCTCTTGAATAGAGGATCACTTGAAACTCCGCGTACAGTCCCTTTAATAAGATTTTATCTATTATCCTACCGTTTTATTTGTGTTCAGAAGTTGCCGACATGAAAAATAAATATACAAATAAGTTTCCCCACTCAGGGGGATTTTGTTTACAGATCATTATAAAGCTCTGCGTCATGCAGCTTGAAGGGACAGCTTGAGTTTTGAAATATTATTCTTCAAGATTTAAATATTTTGATTTTTAAACCAGAATATTCTTCTGTACATGTTTATAGTATTTATCTACTATCGAATAATTTTGTACCCTCCTTCCTGGAAAAATTGTTAAAGTAAAAACATTGCAATGCATATTCATTATTCAATATTAATACTTTTCAAGATTGCTCTGTGCCGTATATTAAGATAAAATATTTTCAAAAATAAATCTAAAATAAGTTTACCCAATTTCGGCTGGGGTGGGGGGATATTGCTCTAAGGCTGTCCAGCTTTGTTGACTTTTTTAACCAACACTTACCCCTTACCTCAAGCTCAAGGCAGGGCTTTTATACCTACTGTTTGAGTATTTGGAAATTTTCAGTTTTCCTTAATGAGGCTTGAATAGAAATTTAGTTTTTGAAAATTTTGCAAATTTTTTTGCATATTTGAATTTGCCGTGGTATGGGCTTTTCAAAAATGAAAATTTATCATATTTCGCTTATTTTTGGGTAAACCAGACCTTAGCCTAAATAGGGTTAATATTAAAAAGTTTCGAGTCGTGTTTTAAAAAAAGGAGCGGTTTGACACAAAAAATTAAGTGGGCCGACCTCCCCCCCCATCCCTTCCTCCCTCCCATGCATCTCAGGGTTAAGGAAACTGCTTCCAATAACGATAACATGATTTGTATAGCTCTTAACGGGTTATAGTATAGAGTCGTTCAGAAGAATAATTAGAAAACAGTTTGATTTTAACAATTTTGATTCTAAAACATGAATTCGCAAATAATATTTATTGAGAAACCACAGATGAAAATAATCAATTATAAAGAGACAATATGGATATTTCATTCCTTCTTTAAAAGAATAAAATATATATGGTGTTTTTAACGATGTAGCGCGCGCACATAAATATATATTGTGTTTTTAACTATGTAGCGCGCGCACAAAAATATATATGGTGTTTTTAACGATGTAGCGCGCGCATAAATATATATGGTGTTTTTAACGATGTAGCGCGCGCACATAAAAAAATTGTGCGGGTAATTTTGCTACCTTGCTAAAAAATAGGATTGCTCAAAATGATGTTTTATTTTGGTTTGAAAATGATTTTGAATAATTTTCTATTTTCTAAACACTAAACAATAATTGCTAAGGTAACATGTCGAGTTTGCAGTAGAAAGCACTCACAGATTTATATTCTTGTATTAGGGAACCCGGAATACTTAAAGTTTCTCGTATCAAAAAATTTAATTTTTTTATTTCGAAACTTTGAAAAATGATGAAATTTTTTTTTAACTGCGGCAATCTTCGGAAAACTATTATTTGAAATGATAAGCTCAAAACCTCGTCCAAGGGAATTCTCCATCTCTCTCTCTCTTTCTCTCGCTCTCTCTCTCTCCTCCCCCCCCCCCNTAGATGTATACACTATACAGGGTGTATCCTAGACAAGGATAGATGTATACACTAGACAGGGTGTATCCTAGACAAGGATAGATTTATACATTATACAAGGTGTATCCTAGACAATGATAGATGTATACACTATACAAGGTGTATCCCAGACAAGGATAGATGTACACACTAGACAGGGTGTATCCTAGACAAGGATAGATTTATACATTATACAAGGTGTATCCTAGACAATGATAGATGTATACACTATACAGGGTGTATCCTAGACAAAAATAGGTGTATACAAGGTGTATCCTAGACAAGGATATATGTATACAGGGTGTATCCTGGACAAGGATATAGGTATACAGGGTGTGTCCTGGACAAGGATATATGTATACAGGGTGTATCCTGGACAAGGATATATGTTTACAGGGTGTATCCTGGACAAGGATATATGCATACAAGGTGTATCCTAGACAAGGATATATGTTAACATGGTGTATCCTGGACAAGGATGTATGTTTATAAGGTATATCCTGGACAAGGATATATGTATACAGGGTATATCCTGGACAAGGATATATATATAAAGGGTATATCCTAGACAAGGATATATGTTTACAGAGTGTATCCTGGACAAGGATATATGAATACAGGGTATATCCTAGACAAGGATGTATGTATACAGGGTATATCCTGGACAAGGATATATGTATACAGGGTATATCCTGGACAAGTGAATTTAGGGTGAACATTAAAAGTGACAAATACTGTACAAGTACAGGAAGTGGGAGGGGGGGCTGGGTGGTTTTATTAAAGGGACTGTAAGCGTATTTTAATGTGATCTTCCCTGCACAGATGCCAATGCACGATTTACAACAGTGCCCTCACAAGCTTTGTTTGATTAAATATAAATTAGATATCCATGTTTTTGTTTTTAGAATTTGTTTATTTTGATTTGTAGTTTCTTCTTGTGTCTTTCTTGTGTATACGAAGGTCTGTAGAAATTCACAGAAATAAACACTTTTCTTGTCAGATCTTCAACATTATTGATCAGATTAAGGTCTCCTGCAAGGGCATCAATGAAAAACTAAAATTGGCATCTTTACAAGAAGAATCACTTGGGATTCAAACTTTAATAATTTACGATTTAAAAACATTAATTTGAGAAACGATTGCTGTTTTACTATCTGTCAGTCCTTGCACTTCCAATATTTGTAAAAATCAATAATCCTGAAGAAAACAATATCTAAAAAAACTTTCAGCAGCAAAAAAGTTAAAGCGTTTATTACGTTATCGACATAATTAAATCTTTTTTCTTCCTTTACCCCTAAACAGAAATTATAGACCTCCCCCCTTTTCATTTTTCTAATACCTCTTAATAGTATAGTTTAAGACTCTCCCCTAAACTTTGTTTTTCTCATAAATCTTAACAGATATTATTAAACTCTCCCTCCCCCCTTGCATCTTAAATTTTCTAATACCTCTCAACAAATAGTATAAGACTCTCCCCTAAACTTTGTTTTTCTCATACCTCTTAACAGATATTATTAAACTCTCCCTCCTCCCTTTCTTGCCTCTTAAATTTTGAATTTTCTAATACCTCCTGATATTAGGAAACTCTCACCTCAACTTTTTTTTTAATATCTCTTAAACTCTCCCCCCTCCCTTGCCTTTTCTTTTTCTAATACCTCTCTTGAAAGATATTATTAAACTCTCCCCTCAATTTTGTTTTTCAATTTTCTGACAGTGTATAATGTGTAGAGTTGAGAATATGCTAAATCAAAGTTACTTTGTTTTCAAAAGAAAAATAGATTTTTAGGGAACTTCCTGCTAATACCTGATTTTTAGGGAGCTTATTGCTAATACCTGATTGTTTTCACCCACGGGTATATCATTTAAATAATTTTATCTGATTTTAAAAAACTCAACTAAAATTGAAAACATGACTGAATTGTGAATCACAAACTTCAATTGTCTCCGCATTATGAAATTGAACTGAAAAAGCAGATATTTAAATTTAATGAATTAGAACTTGATTTCAGACAACTTTAGAGAAAAAATGGGATAACAGATAATATTGTGATGGAATGCAGATAACTTAGAAGATGAGTGGACTTGATCATTGTTATCCAACCCTTCCCATCCCCATAGGATAGTTCCAATACACAAATAGTTAAAAATATTAAATTAATTTGTACTTTTTCATTTTTTTGGCCAAGTCTAATTTTCAATCGAGTTTTTTTTCAAATTTGTTGTTGGAAATCAAAGAACAATTTGAATTGAACAAAGGATTTACAATGATTAAATGATTTACAATGATTAAATTATTTACAATGATTAAAGGATTTACAATGATTAAAGGATTTACAATGATTAAATGATTTACAATGATTAAATGATTTACAATGATTAAAGGATTTACAATGATTAAAGGATTTACAATTATTAAATTATTTACAATGATTAAATGATTTACAATTATTAAAGGATTTACAATGATTAAAGGATTTACAATGATTAAAGGATTTACAATGATTAAAGGATTTACAATGATTAAAGGATTTACAATGATTTAAGGATTTACAATGATTTAATCTAAACCACCTGCTATCTGATAAAGTTTATAAAGAATTGAGTCTTTGCCACAAACTCAGATATTCTAATCCCTAAATCTTTGCAATCTGTTGGTATAAACCTTTGATATTTCAAACTTAGATTTTTAGATCTAACAAAATTCATTGTTTGAAGTATCTAAGCTCTACAACATTGGGTTGAGAGTTTGTGGCAAAGACTCAATTTCTTTGTTTTCCTTGAAACCAACCGAGGCTAAGCGATATTGTAACTATTGGCTTCCTTTGCGCCGCTAAAGTTATATTTTATTTACATAAAACCTCTGGCTGTTTAACAATAAAGAGGATATCTTCATTTTTCTATTTAAAAAGTGTTGATTTATTTCAATGTAACAGAAGCGTAATTACGCAAGTCTCTTTTACAGAGAAACCACTATTAAATACAACTTACTTTCTGCAGAGTGCAGGACAACAAAATATCTCATTTATCCTTGATTAGAGAAATGTTTAAAGCTGGTATCCTTTTGAATTGAACATGTTATAGAAGTCTCAATAACTCAGAATGATAACATATTTTCACAAGTTTATTTATTCATATGTTACTCGTTTAACATACTAAGAATGACTAGTGTAAAATCCGAGATTGAACAAGTTTGCGAAATATCAGTGAAACTGTTTGCGCATTTATGCAAACTCAATTCTAATTTTAACATGTAGGACAAAATCATATTTTCTTATAACTAAAAGTCAGGCTTCTACAGTTCTCCCTCCCAAGTTTCAGGCATGGTGCAGCAGGACTGAGACTGAAAATAATCCATTAGAAACTGCTACTTTCTTGGGACGTCCCTTATTTGGAGGTTCTTCTAGAGTAGGTGCATCAATTGAGATCACTGCTTTCAGCCTGTCTATTGAGACATTATCTTCACGATTACCAATTTTAATTTTAAAATATTTAGATTTCTTTTCTAATACTTTAAAAGGTCCTCTGTAGAGCGGAGATAGAGGGGGAACATGACCATCCTGTCTAATAAATACAAACTCTGNATATAAAGAAGGGTTCTTTCAAAACTTAGAAAATAATAATCTGGATTTTCTATAGAAATCCTAATAAACTTTAGGGGGGCTGGATTCGCTTCACATGATCTCTGTTAAAAAGTATGAATTTTCAAAAGTCTACTGATGACTTTCAACTACCTCAAAACCAGGACTTTTGTGAACTTTAATTTTTTTAATTGGTTTTTGGATTATACATTGTTAAATATAAATAAGAAATCACCTTATTAAAAGATTTTTTTATAGAATTTTATAAAAATATTATTTGCTCGATCTAGAACTTTGTGAATATTTCAGATGTACTTTACACAAAATAAATGAAAAGGATTTTTTTGTGTATTTACACAAATATTTTGGTTAGAAAGTTATTATTGAATTGCAGAAAAAAAATGTTTTTAACATAGATATAAAAGTACTTACACCAAAACCTTGACCTAAAAACTTTAATAAATTGTTCATTTAAATTTGTTCTAAGGAAAAAAATATCTGCAGCTTTAACATCTATAAAAAAATAATTTGAATTTTAAAATGTTCCTGAAAATTTGTTGTTTCCATTGTAGTTTTTATCAGTCTTATATATTGTTTAAACTTGAAAATGAAGAAATTTTAATTGTTTTTTTTCTTTTATAGTAATTACAAACTTTAATAATTATTTTAAGTCCATAGACCACATTCAATGAATTTAAACCATGTCTCTGAACCGCTAAAAACCTATTCCAATTGAGACCTGGCTCAAATCTTTAAACATTGAATAAAGTTTAAGTAGAACCGACCATGATTGAGCCGCATCTCAAATTTAAGATGCGAATCAAATTCTTTAAATTTGGCCTTAATCCCAATATTTACTCTCATTGCTGATACCTCCAAAAAATTTTGGAATTTTCACAATCTCTTTTTTCTTGCTTCCGCTTTTATAATTAAATTTCCTTAAATCTCAGTGCATTGGTAAATAGTTTTGAAATATTTATTTATCTACTCAGATGATTACTGGCAGATTGTCTGAAGGCATCTTCCCCTGTGATTATAGGTACTGTAAGTGTAATTTCAAGTGACCCGCCTTTCAAAGCTAGTTACAATGCCTGATTCACAACTGTGCCCTTGAAGCCTTTATCTGATCAATAATGTGAAAGATATTGTCGTTTTTCTAGGTTTAAAAAAGTTTCATTCTGAAATTGCAAAGGCTGCAAGATCTAGACATCTAAATGTCTATTGAAATCGTATTCTTTGCTACATTTTTTGAGTTTTAGAGGACATAACGCAAAAACTATGAATTCTCTCCATCTACGAGCTCTACAGTAACAATAGCTATCGAAAAATACTTTGGCTCACGGTTTCATTGTGGATTTTGGAAGATTCTGAAAGATTTTGAAAAAGAAAGAAAACGGCAAGAAAGTCTGTTCTCGCCAAAATAAAACAGTAAGGTGCAATTGAGCAGAAACAATCTTCCAGAATCCATCATGAACACGTAATAATACTCACATAAAATTCTGTTCAATTCAGCATAGAACCTCTTGGCTTGGCAAATTGAAAAAAAACTGAAGGGAATCAGCTGTTCATGGCCAGGAAGTTGAGAATGTGAGCCGGAAGTGTGTCATTTAGACAAGGAATAGAGCAGCAGACATTGGACGAGCTTGTATAGTAGAGAGAATTGATATATAATCCAGTTAGAAATTGATATGTAAATTTATAGTGGCAAGGACTAAATGGAACTTTTTACTTATATCAAAACTTAAAAATGCGCAAGTCACTGTGTAGAGAACTCACAATTGGAAATATTAAATAAAAAAATATCAACATTGATATCGTATTCATACATGATCAAACAGAGTTTTTAAGGGTAAATCAAGCATATTGCCATCTTTGCACGGCTAGGTACATCACAGTTCATTTCATGTACCTGACCACAGACTCTCATCTCTGAACCTAACTAAATTTCAACTACCCAGGGCAAGCAGTACAGTACAAATACAGACTATATGAGGCAAAACAAGACAGTACGCCAAATAAATGATCTTCTAATGAAATTTATGTGATTTAAATTACACTTACAGTTCCTTAATTGAATCGATAGGTAGACATGATTAAACAATGGCATTCAAGCTCTGCATTTGATCTTTTGATATGATGTGGGACACCCATTTAGTTTTAAAGTTAGTACAGTTTGGACTATGGAAAAATATTGGAACTGTTCAGTTCGAAAACATTCTGGTTCCCCCCACAACATAGATTCATCCTCACCATGCCAGTCTAACATATTCAACTATGAAACCCTGGATCACCTAGATACAGGTAAACAAACTCTTAAATTGTTTTACATAATAATTTATTTGGCATCAATGATGGTTAAACCTTATTCAGAGGATAGAGCTAAGCTTTATCCACAGTACTTGATATATACTGCACAAACTTTTAAATAAGGAATTAAAATTATTAAATCGGAAGAAATTGTCCTTTTGAAAACTAGAAAAATCAGTATTTTATGTTTAGGATGTACGCCTGAAACCCTGAATGTATCTGTTGGATCTACAGATACTAACTCAGGACATCTGGATATATCTGGAGGTCAACCAGGATATTATATACACACCTTCACAGTTCACACTAAACTTAGCTAGTGGGATAGGTCAAATAGGCATATAATAGATATGATAAGCTCAGGAGGTACATACCACGAGTCACTAAGACTGGTACAAGGAGTTAATCCGGTCGAATTCAAATTGTCCTTAGTCCACTGTGAGTTTGGTTATTCAATCGGAAGATGATAAAAGTAAGCAACTAGTTGGCTTAGCAAAATATTCAGCTTAACAGAAATGTCACAAAATGCTAGTCTTTCCAAATCAATCTTAGCTACAGAAAAAGCACTGTATTTCTGTCTTCTCTACCTAGGGTTTATAGCCTGGTCTATTCAATGGGAGGTTTTACACTTAACTAACTATTTATTGAAACATAAGGTTACAGGTCAAATAGGGTGACCGGCGTGACAGGCACCAAGTAGGACATATATATAATTTACAAGGTTCATGAACGATAAAGTTAATCTTTTATTTGGTTACGAGGTGTGCATAAAATGATGATAATAGTTATTAGAAGGAATATAGATAAGGTATCAGGTTTCCCTGATATAATACTCGGGGATATTTGTTACAGGGACACAAAGGATTAAAAACAATTTAATAAAGTTTATTCACTTTAAAGTATGTTTTTTTTAAAATGTTGTATCTTTTTCAAAGAGATCAAAAAGTCAATGATCAAGTTTTAAACTTTACACCTCTAAAAATTGGTTAAATAAAATATTTGTCACATTCTCACATACCTGATCAGTGTTATAATAAAACTGAGTTTCTGCCATAAACAAATTAAAAGTGCGCCGGTCTTTTATTTTGTTATCTGTAACTTGTAGGATATTAAAACACAAAATTTAAAAATCATGTTTTCCACAGTTTTAATTGTTATGATTTACTCTGAATAAAAAGTTTTATATGTTTTTAGGCTTTAGGTCTGATTTTGTATTTATTCAATGAATAGGAAGTTTGTGCTGTTTACATTAAAGATACAAAGTGTGAAACTTAAGTTTGTTAATTCATTCCTGAATGTGCACATAGCACACAGGTATACAGGGATAACCAGAAAACTTTAGTATAGGAAGACGACTTTAAAGCAATACTGAAGTACATTTTATGTTGTTTTAAAGTAAGTAGCTTTATTAGTAAGTTATTAAATCACTTGTGTAGTAAAATGGTCTGTTTACAATGTCCAATTGCTGTGCCTTATTGTTCATTGGCCTATTTGAAAACATATCTTTGCAACCCAATGTTGTAGACCTTAAATATTTCAAACTATGAATTATGCTAGATCAAATATCAAAGGTTTATACAATCTTTTTGCATAGATATAGATACAAGAAAGTGTGAGTATTTGACAAAGTCTCAATCACGCACCCCTGACCCTTCAGTTAAAGTAAATTTAAACTAAAGTTTGACCGCGTTAACCCTGTTGCACCGGCTAGTCCTTTTGAGTGTCTGCTTTTTTACCCAATGTCCGGGCGACACAGTACAAACTGAGACTGGAAAAGGTGACCCGGCTCGGAAATTCAAATGTACAACGGCTGCCCGTGCAATTCCTTTACTTCAATCATTACGTGGTTTGTATATAAATCTGATATAGGGTTCTCTCTCTCCAGCTCTCTCAACTCAAGGAACTCATTCCTCTTTGAAGATTTCTCCGAGGAACATCATGATGAGATATCCTTCCCACCTTTCCAAGTATATTGGGATTATTAAAATAAATATTATTATTATTATTATTATCATTATAATAAAAATATCATTATCATCATCGTTGGTATTTTTATCACTGTTATTATTAATATCATTAAAATTATTATCATTACTAATACTATAGTTACTGTTAATATTATCATCAATATCATAACTACCATCCTTATCATCATTATCATCATTATCATCATTATCATCATTATCATCATTATCAACATTATCATCATTATCATCATTATCATCATTATCAACATTATCATCACTATCATCGTTGTCAACATTTTCATTGTTTTCATAAATATTATTTTTGATATATATGTATGTTTCAAATAGTATGTGTAGTGCATATAATTCTAGTATAGATAAAAATAATGTAGATATCATGTACTGGACTGGTGTACTATGTGGTATGTACGGGTGTGTACAATATAGTCAAGTAGTGTGTACCGGTGTTTACTATGTAGTATGTACATGTAGTGTGCGCATGTGTCTACTATGTAGTTGGTACAGCTGTGTGTACTATGTTTTTTGTACCGGTGTGTACTATGTACTGTGTACTGGTGTGTACTATGTGGTGTATACTATGTAGTGTATACTATTTAGTGTGTACTATATAGTGTGTACTAGTGTGTCCTATAATGTAGTGTGTACTGCTGAGTATTATGTAGTGTGCACTATGTAGAGTGTTCTGGTGTGTACTATGTAGTGTGTACTTTGTAGTGTTTAATGCTGTATACTGGTGTGTGTGTGTACTATGTAATGTGTACTATTATGTAGTTTTTACTGGTGTGTACCATTGTAGTTTTGTGTACGTCAAGTGTTTTTAATCAATATGTAGAAACAATAATATTCACATATATTAGATACATAATTGTATATACAATATATCTATATAGTATCGTTTATCAAGAAAATGGTTTGAGACATATTTTTTAGGAAAAGCAGAAGTAAAAATGGTTTAATCATTTTTGGCCTAAATTCAGTTAATTTAATTTAATTGATTAAACAGTAACATTGATTTAACAGTAACAGGGTTTAAAATATGATTTTTCTGTATAAAAATAGTTTTTATGTAATGTAAATTGTAAATAATCAATAAATTCTAAATGTTTCTGCTTCACATGCAATTAATTGCTTGAATAGAAGGCCAAAAAAGATACCATCAAGTAAAGAATAAAGAAATTATTTACTAATAACATTTAGTATTAATAGTTTTATTGACAGCTACGAAGAAAAAAAGTCTTTGTCACAAACACTTATTTTAAACACTATGTCTTTCCAACCCAATGGTGTAGACCTTAGATATTTAAAACTATAAATTTAGTTGTATCAAATCATCTAAGTTAGAAGTATAAAAGGTTTACACCATCAGGTGGCAAAGGTTAAAAAATTTGAGCTAGTGGCAAATACTCAATTCTTTTTGGGAAAGGGAATAGTAGCATTTTCAAAAAGGGTATTATCTTCAAAATAATTATCTATCTTTAAAAGTAAGGCCATTTTTGTAAAAATAATTTTTTTTTCTAAGTTTTGTAGTTTTTTAAGTGACTGATCTGGCATTATCCATAATGATCTTTCATTTAAAAAATGTTATGCCCGCCATGGATTATTACTCAGGCAAATTTACAAGTCATAAAATTGGTAAATTATGTTTTAAATCAAGGTTGAGTTCCTTTAAGTTATGATTTCTAGGATACCCGAGCATTAATAGTTCGTGAAGTTTATCAAGTTGAGAAATCTTATGTGGAGTCTCTGCAGTTCCTCTTGTTTGTGAGTAAAATTAAAGATTTTTAATCAATATTATTTTCAGTTTGAAGTTTTATTTTTTTTTATTAAAAACCTAATGTTCGGTCAAATTATTGTGGATCCTTTAAAAAAGTGCTAATCTATATAATTTGTAGTTCTGAATATCAATAAAGATCAATAAAAGATCAATAAAAGATCAATAAAAGATCAATAAAAGATCGCAATGATACGATTGATCTGTTTCTCAAAGATTAAGCCCCTAATAAAATGTTGTTAAACATAATATAAAGCTATAAATTCGATATTTGATCATATTTCGTCAAAATATTTTAGAATATTCAATAAATTCCATTTCACAAATGCCTAAAAATAAGTTGGTAAATAAGTTGGTAAATGCCGTTTTTATATCTTGAACTTGCCGTTTTTTTATCTTGAACTTGCCATTCGTTATATCTTGAACTTGCCGTTTTTTAAATCTTGAACTTGCCGTTCGTTATATCTCAAACTTGCTGTTTATTATATTTTGAACTTGTTGTTTGTTATATATTGAACTTGCCGTTTTTTATCTTGAACTTGCCGTTCGTTATATCTTGAACTTGCCGTTTTTTATATCTTGAACTTGCCGTCTGTTATATCTTGAACTTGCCGTTCGTTATATCTTAAACTTTCCGTTTTTTTAAATCTTGAACTTGCCGTTTTTGTAAATCTTGAACTTGCCGTTGGTTATATCTAGAACTTGCTGTAATTGTTATATCATAAACTTGCCGTTCGTTAGATCTTGAACTTGCCGTTCGTTATATCTTTAATTTGCCGTTCGTTATATTTTGAACTTGCTGTTCATTATATCTTGAACTTGCCGTTCGTTATATCTTCAACTTGCCGTTCGATATATCTTGAACTTGCCCTTCGTTATATCTTGAACTTAATGTTCGTTATATCTTGAACTTGCCCTTCGTTATATCTTGAACTTGTTGTTCGTTATAACTTGAACTTGCCGTTCGTTATATCTTGAACTTAATGTTCGTTATATCTTGAACTTGCCGTTCATTAGATGGAGTGTTCATTAACAATCTAAATTAAAGGGAGTGTTCATTAACAATCTAAATTAAAGGGAGTGTTCATTGCTAATCTCAATTAAAGGAAGTGTTCATTAACAATCTCAATTAAAGGGAGTGTTCATTAATAATCTCAATTAAAGGGAGTGTTAATTAACACTCTCAATTAGAGGGAGTGTTCATTAAAAATCTAAATTAAAGGGAGTGTTAATTAACATTCTCAATTAGAGGGAGTGTTCATTAAAAATCTAAATTAAAGGGAGTGTTCAATAACAATCTCAATTAAAGGGAGTGTTCATTAACACTCTCAATTAAAGGGAGTGTTCATTAACAATCTAAAGTAAAGGGAGTGTTCATTAACAATCTCAATTAAAGGGAGTGTTTATTAACATTGTAATCTTTTTAATAACCCATTTTTTCCTTTTGTAAACAGTTTCAAAATCACCGGTTTTGCCGTTCGTCAACGTTAAAATAAAAAAAATTGCTGTTCGTTATATCTTGAACTTGCTGTTCGTTATATCTTGAACTTTCTGTTTTTTATATTTTGAACTTGTTTGGTATATATTGAACTTACCGTTTTTATATGTTGAAATTGCCTTTCGTTATATCTTGAACTTGCTGTTTATTATATTTTGAACTTGTTCTTTGTTATATTTTGAACTTGCCGTTCGTTATATCTTGAAGTTGCCGTTTTTTTATATCTTGAACTTGCCGTTCGTTATATCTTGAACTTGCCTTTTTACATCTTGATTTTGATGTTTTTTATATCTTGAACTTGCCGTTCCTTATATCTTGAACTTGCCGTTCGTTATAACTTGAACTTGCCGTTCGTTACATTTTGAACTTGCTGTTCGTTATATCTTGAACTTTCCGTTTTTTATATCTTAAACTTGTCGTTCGTTATATCCTGAACTTGCCTTTTTATATTTTGAACTTGCTGTTTTTATATCTTGAACTTGCCGTTTTTTATATCTTGAACTTGCCTTTTTATATTTTGTACTTGCTGTTTTTTATATTTTGAACTTGCCCTTCGTTATATCTTGAACTTGCCGTTCGTTAAGGAAACGTTGTTAACTATATCTAGAGATGAGTATCATGTTGTTCTCCGTTTTAAACATTCAATGAATTTTTAGACTTGCAATGAAATCATGATTATATTCTCTCCAACTCCTCGAACCTAAATATCGCTAAATCTTCCAAAAACTCCGTCGTTTAATGCCAATTGTTATTTTGTTTAAAAACTATTACATCATCAGATGGCTTCTCATCTCTTGCAAATAGATTCTTAAATACAATAGATGGCAACGTATTATTTGTACACTCTCAGTAAAGCTGTATTCTTACGTCAACTCAGTTTTTGTGTCCGACAAAATTATCAATAATAGTGATAATTTTAGAATAAAGAGCTTATCTTACAGTGAAAAAAGGTGCAATTTTATGTGTTATTTATTTTCTTCTTTTCACTTTTCTATTTAATCTTGAAAAATATGTCAAATAATGTGAGAAAATTTCGTTATCTTTGTTATATTTGACACTTGTGACGTCGTGTATAATTGGTCCATTTCTCTGTTGCCACCTATTGTACTTGATAATCTATTTGATCTCTTTTATCTATAAAGCAAAAGTAAGCTTCGTCTCGACAAGAGTTTGAGATGTTTAATATGGCAAAACTGTTTTCTTTATAGATAAGCTTAAGCTTATATTACATTTTGTAAACATTTTTCTCTAAACAAATATATTAATTAAAAAATCCTTTTGATTTTTATCTTTTCCCGGAGTAACATTTAAATGTTCAAAAACGACCCAACAATGATGCCCAATTTTATCCTTTAAAAAGAACTATGGTATTTAAGGAAAAAACCTTTTTACGTACACATACACTATTAGGAAATACTAAAAAGTATCCACCTTTAATGACTCTTCCGAAATCTTTTATTTCACTTTGTTAAGCATCTTATAGTATAATATATATAAAGAAGGGTTCTTTCAAAACTTAGAAAATAATAATCTGGATTTTCTATAGAAATCCTAATAAACTTTACAAAGACAGATTTTCAAAAGAATTCATACTATTTAGAGAAAATTTTATTTTCCCAACACACTTTTGGTATTATTTTTATCCTATAAAAAAAGAAAACTCGTGTTTTATTGGTATCACTTCACTTTACGAAAATGACCTGAATTTTGGCATCACAAGAAAAAACATGCTGCGGTCGGAATATTTGAAAAATGGTTGAATTAGCTACAGTTGAACCTCTTCTCTTTTGTTTACCGAAGTACACAAGAAACGTAGTTGACTAATTCTTCCTTTTTACTCTTAAAAATTAAATTCAACCTAAGACAGATTCCAAATCATGAAATATATTTTGTAAATTTGTAATGTATAAGACCCAGGTTAAAATATAAATATTGTCTTGGAACATTTCGCAAATTTTTACAAATATCGATATTAACATCACAACAATTTGTTTTCTTTCCTGGGGTATATATATTCTTGAAAAATCACTACTCTTAAAGAAAAAACTTTCCCCAGAAGTAATGTATGCATTTTTTAAGGGTTTTATTCGCTGACCTGGTAGGGAAAATGCTTTTTAAGGGGACCATGATGGAATTTTAGGGTAAAAAATGTAAAACTTGCCTTTTCAGGTCCAATTTTTCATTTTCCCTCAACACTTTTTTTGTAATTCTTAAAATTAGATATCCCTGTTCCTTCCGTGATATATATATAAGCATATTTAGTGTGTACTATATA